AAGATGGGTTAACAAGTTAGATCCATGGTCTTCTGTGTTTTCAATAAACATATTTATGTGCAACTTTGTGTACCTTTTTCCCCCATATATTTCCACCTGAAATATAACCAAACAGTTTAAAAATACTCATATTTCCTGTTAGTCTAATTCTCCAATTATTTCAGACATGGGTGTTGCACAAATGGTGACCTTAAAGCATAACCTGTTCCCATAGATATTCAAGACCAACTAACAGGTTGCCATGTAATGCATACTCCCAGTGTTAAGTACAAAATGGTGCTTTTAAACGAGTGGATTGTTGGTGAAAACAGATGCATAATGTGTCTGGGACGAGAGGAAGTAAAGTCAAACAAGGCAGCAGCAGAAAACAGCTTGTTTCGGTTTGCTGTTTGCAACAACAAAGACAACCATCCGACTCAAAGATGAATCTATAGGGACCTCTGAAACTGAACTGAAGACAAGAGAGAGGAAAAAGGGTGGGAGAATGACTTAAAGTGGGAAAAGGAGGGAAGAGGGAAAGTGAGGAAGAGCGTGGAAAGGACTGCGTATATTCATGTGTGTTGGGAGGGGGGCACTGTGGGGTACGATGCAGCCCCCCGCAGTCCCAAGTAATGGCAGAATAGAAGTTAATAGGGTAGAAAAAAGGCCGGAGGCTGTGTTAACTCAGAACGGTCATTTTGAATTCCCCGTTCTCTTCCTCAGTCACTCCCTTTCCCTCTCATCCCTTCTTCCCTTCACCTTCCATAACGTGGATTCCCATCCCTGCCTGCCTGTGTCATTTGCCCATTCTCCCCTCCTGTCTCCCTTACACCCTTAACCGTCTCCCACCGGTCACCTGTTTCCCCTTTTTTTCTCTCTTTCCTCCCCCTCCTCGCCTCTTCATCTTCTCACACCTCTCTTCCTCACCCTTCCTCCCCCCTCGGTGTCTCCTTGGAGGAGGGTGTCATGATAGCTATTTGAGGTGTCAATCAGACGACCGCTGTAATGGCTTCTCTAAAGCACCATTCCACGGTTGCCACGGTGAACCTTGCACAGACGCCCATCCAGAATAAGAGGTTGAAGGGGGGTAAAAAAAACATCTGGTGGGTATCGACAGGCGTTCAACAGCAGACAGTGACGCGACCCCCCGGGGGCCACAGGGAGCTAATGATGCGTGGGATAGGACTCATACAGTAGTGATAATAGTGGATAATATATATAAACAAATAAACAGTATATGACTTTGTGTGTGTCTGTCGGTTCCTGATGCATATTTTCTCCCTTTCTGCAGTGTGTTTATATGAGAAAAAGAGAGTTTAATTTGGGTTGTAAATTACCATGTCTTTCTTAAAAAAACGTATAAATGCGTCAAAATCTCCTTTAAATACCGTCGGGGTCAGACATGGATCCAGACTTTTTGCTCTTTTTGTCGCTTTTTAATAATTAAATAGCTCTAGTTTTCTGTAACACAGTGTTCCTGTATACGTGTCTTTAGGCATGCATGTGAGGATCTGATTTCCACTTTATGTGTGTGTTATTTTAATGTTAGGAGCGTTGTTCCTCAACCATTTTGCACACAGGCAGATCCGCTTACAAAAAGGATATCAGATGTCTTGTCCAAGTCAAAAAGCAGTTTTGTAGTGAAGAGATTTAACCGAGTCATTAAGAGCGTTTACGAACATACATACGGTACGTACTGCAGAGTTTTCAAACGTCTTAATTGAACCACATAAAGTGTTGTACAACCATATTGTACATTGCCAATGGAATTAAACGTCCTTAATGTCAGTTTAAATAATGTGTGTCAATTCAATTAAACATGTTGTCAAATTGTTTAAGATGGAAGGATTCATATTAGACGGTACCGGACGATTAGGCAAGCAAGTCAATTGTATGTAAATTATTCAGATTATTTAGGCAATAAAATACTTTTTGTCAGTCATTAAACAGTAAAAAGGACCCGTGTGGCTTTGGATTCATGTCTGATTTTGGTGTTGCTTCTAGGAGATTTTGATGCATTTATAGGCTTTTTATAAATATTGTGAGGGTAAAAGTGATCATTTTCATTGATACTAAGATAATTGGATATATGATTTTGAATTCTGCTTGCTTACTCATAGCCAATGATCTGTTCCTGTCTTCTTATCGTATTTAATATGTTGACTTTAGTCACATACTGTGGGAGTAAACTAGCAACAAATAAGCCAAAAATGGAAAAAAAAAGGTTCGCTGTCTGTTTAGTGTTCACAAACTCAATAACAGCAAGTCCCTTCAGTGTGTGTGTGTGTGTGTGTGTGTGTGTGTGTGGTGTGTGTGTGTGTGTGTGTGTGTGTGTGTGTGTGTGTCTGTGTGTGTGGTGTGTGTTGTGTGTGTGTGTGTTTGCGTGTGTTTGCGTTGTGTTAGAGAGAGAGTGTGTGTGTGTGACACAAGCAGTGTTTATCACTTTTTACGTAAAGCGCAGCAGTTCAAGTCTGGGTCAGGAGGAGTAAATCTTTAGGTGGGTGGTGTTTACTATGAACCCTGGGACCCTCCTCCGATCTTTGTGTGTGTGTGTGTGGTGTGTGTGTTTGTGTGTGTGTGTGTGTGTGTGTGTGTGTGTGTGGTGTGTGTGTGGTGTGTGGTGATGACACGCATGTTGCTGTGGGTCAGTGAGTCGATGTGTATGTTTATAGCCATTGACAAGCAGAAGGGGGTGTGTGTGTGTGTGTGTGTGTTGTGTATGTGTGTGTGTGTGTGTGTGTGTGTGTGTGTGTGTGTGTGTGTGTGTGTGTGTGTGTGTGTGTGTGGTGTGTGTGTGTGTGTGTGTGTGTGTGTGTGTGTGTGTGTGGTGTGGATTAGCCAGGTTGGGATGATTGGGTTGAGGATTAGATGGATTCAGGAACAGACACGTCTGTTTATTCTGCAAAGAAGACTTATAATAGGCTGATTGGCGAGGTTGATTACTCACACACACACACGTCATTCAAACACCTCATATGTTGATTAGCTTATTATTGTTTCCTTAAAAGGCCCGCCATCTCCTTTTCCCTTTGCTTGTCTCCCCAACAGAGGCTAACAAAGTACTTTAGTACAATTTCGAGGAACTTGTAAATTACTTGAGCATTTCCATTTTATGCTACGTTGTACTTCTACTCCACTACATTTAAAAGGGGAAAAGGTAATTTTACTCCACTACATCTAATTACCGGCTTTAGCTACTGTTGACAAAATGCATCTCTAAAAACAATGTTAAGTCACAAAAGAGTAAAATTCTTTTAAATATTTTAGAAAAAGTCAATCATAACTGTGTTGTCCACAACAGTAAAATGCTAACTTGATGCTACAATATCATCCATATATAAATATAATCATATACACACAGAGGCATTTAGTCTGCACAATGAGTACTTTTACTTGTAATACTTTAAATACATTTAGCTGATAATACTTCTGTACTTTACTTAAAGGGGACCTATCATGCAAAATGCACTTTTGATGTCTTTTATACATAAATATGTGTCCCTGATGTGTCAGGGAACTCACGCAGCGTCAGAAAAATAAAACCCTCTCTCTTTTCCTCCGTACCCAAATCTTTTAAAAACGAGTGTACAACGAGCGGATACAGATTTGCTGCCGATCTGATGTCAAATCGGCAGCGGACCCACAAAAAGTTGCTATCAGAAACAATGCCTGACGTGTTTTAGACGTAATCTCGTTTTTGTTTACATTAGCAAGCCTCGCTAACACTCAGAGCTAATCTGTCCTGGAGAGCACATGTGTTTTAAAAAGCAGGAAATAAAAAAAGAACTCACCTTGTGAGAACCCCGCAAGAGAAAAAAGCATTTTTTGAGCTCCATTACTGTTTCAGAAATAATCCTTGATGTGGTTTAGAACAGGATGGCATTTTATCACAGCAGAATTTAACTTTATCTCCGGTAGAATTCTGATCAGGCATTAGCTCCGCCTCCTCTTTTTTTTCAAGCTAAGGACCCAAAATCCGTGACTGTTTGGTATTTTAAGCAAAAAACTTCACAGACATGTTTTGTATAAGTATGGCCCTACCAATATATTATAGCATAATAGGTCCACTTTATGTTAGATTTTGTTTGCAGGACTTTTACTTGTAATTAAATATTTTGGACAATAATGTATTGGTACTTTTACTTCAAGTAAAGCATCTGAATACACCGAGGTGTATAACTAACTGTATTGGGTTAGTTGAAAGCAATAACATTAAGTTGGATCTAATGCCATAAACGTAATATTATTGCTTTCAACTAACCCAATACAGCTAGGTGAAATCTGTTGACATGATACATTTAATAAACGTTTCAGTCTTTTCAGTGCAGATTCGGATGCACACTTGTCTCTCAGACACATTTCCCCATTATGACTGACCCAGAGAGCTTGCAATCAGAAGAAGGTGTGTACTAAACCCAGGAGCGTAAGGGGATCCGCACTAGGCAACTTACCCTGCCGGCACAGGGTGTGCTCTGGTTACCCGGCGGTGTGTGTGTGTGTGTGTGTTGTTTCTCCCTTACCTGTCTCTTTATGTGTCGGATGCAAGAGGCGAAAGTGCAGAGCTGGGAATAAAGCGGCAGAGAAAGGCAGGATTATACACATGGCAGGTTTAGAGAAAGGCTGGCAGGGAGAAGGGAGAGGATGGGCGGAAAGAGTGAGCGAGGGGAGGCTTAAGACTACAGAGGAGAGCGAACCTTGTTGCCGAGTTCAGATGTGATGGGACGGCTAGTTTAGGGGAAGAGTGAAGGAGTCCTTCAAGCACTTCCATAACATTTGCATTGAGGATGTTCTTCTTCACTGATCAAACTTTTGTCTGACAAACCAGGGACTTCAAGGAAGGTGAAGAAGAAGGTCAGTGCAACTGGATGTGATTCAAAGACAGTTGGCAAAAGAAGGGGGTTAAAAGCTAAGGGAAGGAGAGTCAGCGGGAACAGGTGTGCATGAGCCTTCAGGGGGACTAATAACAAGTCAAGCAAGAAGAACAGGAGTTAGGCGGGAAGAGAGAGACAGGGTCGACTGCAGGCGTGGAGATAAGCAAAATTAGTCTGCAGAGAAAGAGAGGTAGAAGCCAGACCTAAAGAGAGATCAAGGCTGACTCAAGTCTCTCTGCCTGATTAGGGAGAGGAGGGTTAGTGGTGGGATCCCCGATCAACACAACGCCAGAGCCATCGAGAGAGAAGAATTACAAGAGGACGCCTGGAGAAAAAGAAGCCTCTTAAATCTGGGAGCTGGAATTAGAGCCGCAAGAAACTGCAGAGGGGAAGCCACAAAACCACAGTAAGTAAATTAGGAAGGCTGGAAAAATGTATAATGAAGCCATGGGCGGGGGAAGGAATTGGTGGTCTTGAGAGTGCTTTATATACTGTACCTTAATGAATTGATTTCCTGTCTTGAAGTATTTCTCTTTTCATCATTCTCCATGATTTCATAGCCTGTCTTATTCCTTCCTTAAAAAACCATTATACCTCGTTTTTTTTATGCATAGCTCTTACTCTTGCATCAGGTTTATTACCCTATTCTCTTTCTCCTTTTCCTCATCCCTAACTCATTTTCCGTCTGTCTCACATTCCTGAACCCACAGGTGAAGATGCCTGCTGATGGGAATCGTCCTCTGAAGCTGCAGTTTGGTCTGATAAACCACGAGGGTCGCTACCTCACCGCGGAGGCTTTTGGCTTCAAGGTATAAACACATAATTCAATACAAAAAAAAAAGTATTTAAGATAACATTTACTTCATTGATCCCAATTTTTTTTTCGTGACCGCAGCATTTTAACCCTCAGATGCATAAGGGGGTCTTTTTTGACCCGGTGAGGTGGTTTTCTTAGAGTATCTTTGTAATTAAAAATGTTATCAGTTCATATTCCAGCTATTCCTCAAAAAACAAGTTTTGGATATCATGCCATTCAAATTTTAAATTTAAATGTTATACATTTTAAGAAATTGTAGTTTTTGTATTACTACCCCAAGCTTCCCATGCATAAGTGGGTCTTTTTTGACCCGGTGAGGTGGTATTCTTGAAGTATCTTTGTAATTACATTTTTTTATCATTTCATATTCCAGCTATTTCTAAAAAACATGTTTTGGATATCATGCCATTCAAATTTTAAATTTACATTTTAAGAAATTGTAGTTTTTGTATTACTACCCCAAGCTTCTATAAGTGGGTCAAAAATGACCCGCATGCATTTTCTATGGAATTTCGTTTTTTTTCTAAAATGATAGTGGAAAATTAAATATAAAATATTTCTAGTGTGAACCAAAATATAATACTAAATATTATACAAGTGATTTTCTTAACCAAAATGACAAAAATGGCATAACAACACATATTATTCTAATACGGGTCCTTTTTGACTGACTTATGGAAGAGTGTCGGTTCCAGTCACTCGGGCATCTAACCCTGACACACCAAGCAGTCACCAGAGAACTCGCCGACGCCGACTGTTGCGTCGCCGTGTTCTCTTGCATCTTGGCCATGTGTCGCACTGGAACACACCGCAAAGACTTCAGCCGAGCACGTACGAAATGCGCATGCGTGAGTGGCAATAACTCTCCTTACCAGCAGGCGGCGGTAGTGTGTATTCGTCATTCAAAAGAGGCAACAACCGGAAGACAGAGAAGAAGAACAGACTGCGTGATATAAACAAACAACAAATAGCGTGTGCGTTCCATGTTCACTCTCGTCCATCGAAAACATGTTTCGTGCGGTACTGGAGCTATCAGCCATTGGAGTGTTGCTTGTGGAAGACATTCTCAAGCAACCGTTTCGCTTCTCATGCACTGATTCGCTAGCTGAACAGCCAATCAGAGTGATTTCTTTATCCGACTGCCTGTGGCCGACGCGGCGACGCACGGCCGATTCAACATGATTTCGGCCGTTTTCGTTAGTCGGACGACGAAGCGTGCCCTGTCGCCCAAACTCAATTTGGTGTGTCCCGCACCGTCGGCCGTCACACGCCTTATTTGGCCTTTCATGGCCGACGCACGGCCGATTCAACATGTTGAATTGGCCGTGCGTCGGCCACAGGCAGTCGGACAAAGAAATCACTCTGATTGGCTGTTCAGCTAGCGAATCAGTGCATTGTGGAAGACATTCTCAAGCAACCGTTTCGCTTCTCATGCACTGATTCGCTAGCTGAACAGCCAATCAGAGTGATTTCTTTGTCCGACTGCCTGTGGCCGACGCACGGCCGATTCAACATGATTTCGGCCGTTTTCGTTAGTCGGACGACGAAGCGTGCCCTGTCGCCCAAACTCAATTTGGTGTGTCCCGCACCGTCGGCCGTGACACGCCTTATTTGGCCTTTCATGGCCGACGCACTGCCGATTCAACATGTTGAATCGGCCATGCATCGGGTCAGGCAGTCGGACAAAGCAGGAGAACACGCTGACTTTCACAAGTACAAAGCACTATTTGTATTTATTTATTTGTATTATTACTAGGATACATTTTTTGTTTTTGGCCTCTGCCTAATGTCCAATTTGTTTTGTTTGCTTGTTTTCTTGTTACTTTCTTACGGTTTGTACCATATCTTTGGACCCCCTTGAAAACGAGATGGTTAATCTCAACAGGGTTTATCTTAAATTAATAAATGTCAGTTAAACACAAGACTAAAAAGCCTTCACGCTCTGCTTCTTTCTCCCTCAGCTGAATGCGTCAGCTCCCAGCCTGAAGAAGAAGCAGATCTGGACTCTGGAGCAGGACCCTCAGGACCCCCAGGTGGTCTACCTGCGCAGCCACCTGGGCCGCTACCTGGCCTCCGACAAGGACGGCAGGGTGACCTGTGAGGCCGACGGGCAGAATGCAGACTGCCGCTTCCTCATCGTGGCTCAGTCCAATGGCAGCTGGGCCCTGCAGTCCGAGCCTCACCTACGCTTCTTCGGTGGGTCTCGAGACCACCTGTCCTGCTTCGCCCAGCTCATTACAGACGCCGAGCTGTGGGCCGTTCACCTGGCGCTACACCCCCAGGCCAACCTGCTGTCCGTGGCCCGAAAGCGGTACGCCCACCTCTCCATGGAGGACGGGGAGATCGCCGTGGATATGAACATCCCCTGGGGGGTGGCGGCGCTCCTCACCCTGGTGTACCAGGAGGGAAAGTACTGCCTAAAGACCTGCGACAGCCGCTTCCTCAGCAACGATGGGAAGCTGGTGACGCAGAGCGGGAGGGCGACTGCATACACGCTGGAGTTGAAGTGTGGGAAGCTGGCCTTTAAAGACTGTGAGGGGAAGTATCTGTCCCCCATGGGGCCCACGGGCACCCTGAGGTCCGGACGCTGCTCCAAGCCAGGCAAAGATGAACTGTTTGATCTGGAGGAGAGCCACCCACAGGTGGTCCTGACCGCCGCCAATGGGCGATATGTCTCCATAAGACAAGGTAAGGAAAACACAGACGCATCAGTGGCCTTGCTTTCATGCACTGTGAAGGACCAGGGTACGCTAAAACTAAACACACAACTTCAAAGAATGGGTGACAGGATGAGTGCTCTTCTGCCCACCAACTTCCTCTCCACACTGCAGGAATGTATAACAATGCTGGCGAGTCCATAGTTGAGTGCAGGGGAGAGAAGACTCTTCACTATTAAACAATGAGGGGCTTAGGTGAAGGGGCTTCTTTAAAAACACCCCTCAAGTTTTAGGGGAATGGCACAGTCCAATTAACCAGGCACATCTACATAGGCAGGGGTTGTTCGGCAGCTGCAAGACACTGACAAAACTGCACAACACATCATTAACAATCACTAAATTCAACAAGATTGTGAGCACTAAATCTAGTAAAATAGAGTTGGTTAAAAATGCGTCAGTGTATGTATGATGCTACACAAAAAAAAGCATAGCCTTTAGGATGTGTTCACAAACCCCAACTGTTCCTATATTCCCTAAAGTCTTCCACAGGGTCCCAAATATGTGATTGAATGGCTTAAGTCTGACCTTATGTGCCACTAAAGGTGGTCACATGAGCCACACTGACCTACACACATGCATAATGAAGCAGAGGGGTCGCAAATACTACAACTACTACAGTTACTACTACTAGCCTATATACTTACATACTGTGTGCACTGATATGCCTCCAGAAAACTGAGCTTACAATTCACAGGAAGTAGCTGAATATGCATCATTGAGTTAATGGGCCACTCTCTTGAGATTGACAACTGATAAGGGATGCATGGTAATTATGGGTAATGTAGTCTGCACATCAACATGCATTCACATCACATTGGATAGTCAGGAAAACAAGATGAGGCTGATAGGGGAGACAATCAGTCCGATGTCTGAGACCTGATACGATTAGTTTTAGGGCTGCAGTTGATTTAGGTTGAATCCACCGTGGGTATTAAGTATTGCTTCGGTCCAATAACAGATTTGTTTTGCACCCATGTTGGGAATAACTGCAGAAAACACACTTTTTTTCAAGTTTTCATGAATGAGATTTGATGTTATCGGAGAAAGTGTTGTATTCCTGTAACGCTGGATACCCCTCGTAAAATTCTTCTAATAGAAATGAGCCAAATAATCATCATAAATGGTGATCTTCTGGAAAATCCCCTTTCTCCCTCTCAAATGTACCTCCTGGCTCTGTTGGGTAATGGTGTGAACACACTAGGCTTTTACCCTTCAGGCTTTACTGAAACAGCTGCTTGTAACCTATATACTGCAGTAATGCTCTGTTGATACTGTATTATGTATTTACCCCTCGGCCTTGTCACGGGGCCGTTGGAGTGCGTTATTTGATCAGCATGCAGGCACGACATCACACTACAATACTGATAGATTACACCTGCTCCACATTGGGCTTTTTCTCAACGGTTGGATTTCTTTGATCGGTCTAAAAACTAGAAAACAATGTAATTGTGGCTATCAGGTGTCATGGCATCCTGGACATTTGATTGAAACAGATCTTGGACCATGCTGAGTATTATGTTCGGTTTTATTGGCTTCCCCGTTGATTGTGCTCTTTGTAAACTGTGTTTTGAGATTACTTTGGTTCGTTTTTGAGTTTCAGTACTAGGTTTTCAAACACCACTCCGAGTTTGTTTGATTGCTGGCTGTCAACAGCAGGTTTCAGGGTGATCCCAAAACTAAAATCATACTTCAGTCAGTCAGTCAGTCAGTCCGTGTGCATCGCAGATTGAAAACATACCTGTGTGAAAATCTCTTCTGTAACTCGCATTTACAAAGGATTACGTTTTAAAGTAACTTAATGCAGTAGCACTTAATCTGGTTGCGTTTATAGAACAATGTACCTCAATGATTCTTGCTTTTGAGTTTGTTTCTTAATGGTTGAATGCACTTATTGTAAGTCGCATGGATAAAAGCATCAGCTGAATGAAATGTAATGTAATGTTTCCACTCGACAGACGAGGACAGTTGCTGAAATGGTTTCTCTGGTTTGATTTGAAGCTGGATTTGAGGTGGATTAGCATACACTAACAATGCTTGTCGGCATACTTGGCCATGACACCCATCCGCAGGCTGCAGATTCTTGTCTGCAGGGTTGAGTTTTCTGCAGCCCCCGGTGCTGTAACCCAACCTCTGCCCCTCTTATTGTTCCCGGGTAGCAGTGGGAGCTTCGAGCAGAAACCGACAGACTGCGAGGACTGTTAACTGATTGGTTGAGGGGAAGGGAAATGTGGTGCAGTGTAACATGCATAAAGTATATAAAGCAGCATCTTCTGTGTTACTGTCTACTCTCTTCCTACACTTGTTCTGCACAAACAAAAGCTTTATCTCCCTCCGACACACTCGCCCACACAGAACCATCCTGCTGCGGAGAGTGGTGAGTTGAGGTGTGTTGAATTATTGATGAAGTTGGCCCCTGTTCCTGGAAGGCGGAGGGGGGGGGAGTCTGCTTTCAGAAACCCAAGCTGCCTCTCACCTGGGGCCAAAGCTTCTGCCCCTCCGGGTCCCGCTCTAACTCTCTAATCTATCCCGGGTTAACCCCAGCACATCAGACATTTACTGCAGAAAAAATCTGTTTTAGGTGAAAGGTTTAATTGTTAGGTTAGAATCGTTAGAATAAAGAGGGATAAAAGGGAAAATCCTCACATGCGAGTACCTCAAAAAGCTTCTTGGGTAAATATACCTTGTCTACATCTGCGTATGACATGATGAATAGGAGGGAAACGGAAAGCAGAGAAGGGGGGATACAACTCTCAAAGGACTCGAGGACAATAGGACTGAGTGTGGAGACAGGTGGGCTCTTTATCCTCCCTAATGTCACCTGTGTCTTTACACACATTTAGCACCTTTGTTTCTGCTCCATTTAGCGCAGAGGAGTCACATTGGCTTTCTATTTTAAAGTGAGTACAAATGTGGTAAATGGGTTAGTGATAAGAGGGTCAGCTGTAATGAGGTAGCTGGAAACAGTGTTAAAGAAACAGTAATGTAAAACAGAAATATCTATCCTGAGGTGTGTGTGTGTGTGTGTGTGTGTGTGTGTGTGTGTGTGTGTGTGTGTGTGTGTGTGTGTGTGTGTGTGTGTGTGTGTGTGTGTGTGTGTGTGTGTGTGTGTGTGTGTGCATCTTAGCATGTAGATCTGTCATCATGTCTCTCATCCCCTCCCTGTGGTCCCACTCTGCCCTGAAAGAGAAAAAGAGATGATTGTCTAACGAGAGAAAAACCTTCTATAAACACATGCACACGAACACACACACACACACACACACAGCACACACACACAGCACACACACACAGCACAGGAACAGATAAACGGGGATTAAAAGAATGGACTGAAAATAAAAAACCAAGAGAAAATGCATTTGTGGAGGATGAATGATTGGGAGAAAGAGGAAATAATGGACAGGGGGATAGTGGAATCAGCTTACCATTAATAATGGATGTCAGAGCGGGCTATCGCTGATGGATTAGTTAGGCCTGCTCCACTTGCAGCCTGCAGGTAGGACAACAACAGAAAGTAGATCTGGGGTCTGATCCAAAATGTGCTACTGCTGCTGTGTAGATACACGGGGGAGGGTACTGATTAGAAGCAGCGGTGGAGAAAGTATTCAGATGCTTTACCTAAGTAAAAAGAGTAATACTACACTGTAAGAATGCTCTATTATAAGTCCTGCATTGAGAATGCTACCTTAGTAACAGTACTTTAGTATAGAACTAATGCAAATCATAAGTAATAATACATATTATTTATCAAGCACTCTTATAGGTGCTCAAAGATACTTTACAGAGATAGAAATAAATGCATACAATTAAAAATGTAATTAATATCGAGCTAGTAAAACCACATTAAACATAAAGACACAACATAAACCACAAATGAATGCAAAAAATTATTAAAATAAAATGATTTTAGATGTCATTAAATGTATGAAAGTAAAGAGTACAGTGTTTCCCTTTGAGATGTAGTTGAGTAGAAGTATGAAGTGGTACAAAAAAGAAAATACTCCAGTAAAGTACCTGAAATTCTAACAGTAAATGTATTCGTTACAGTCCACCACTTATTAGGAGTGTGCATAGTTAATCAGTGACGATGACAACACCGTAGTGTGCATGCTTGACCAACTTCTGTGTCAAAGATGGTCATCAACACAGCTATTGATATCTCAGATTGCTGGATTGGATTTCAGCGCATCTAATCTACTTTCTCTTCCTCCATCCTTCTCTTTTTCCTCCATCCTTCCTCCATCCTTCTCTCTTTCCTCTATTCCTCTCCCCTTCTCATCTATCAGACCTGCGAGGTCCCAGCTGAAGCCTGTCTGAGGATCATTTTCTGGGTTGAATTAGTGTGAAATGGACACATGGAGTAGGTAGACAAAGCATGACATTGAGTCGGGATGAGAGCGAATGAGAGTGACGGGCCTCCAGGCGTAGGTGTGGAGTAGAGGGGGCCGAAATGTATGCTTCAAATGCACTTCAGATCAATGATAATTTCTCCAGTTGTAAGACCTCATGATATCTACCTTATCGGGTGTGAATAAGATGTGATTGAAGCGTCCCGGCGGCTCAGTAACCATGACATCTTTGTCGCATGTCAACGACTTTTCTCCCTCCTCATCTCTATATCTACTGGCATTACATTAAAGCTAAATGCCAGAAAAAGAATCTTAAAACAGATGGGATTCACATTGTCATAAAGCACACATCAAGTATACACATTTGAAGATTTGTTGGGGGGTTTTCAGTCAAAAACCTCTGTGATAGAGCTCTAGTGGTACGTGAAGGTGCATTTATGTGGGATTATGCAGATGTGATTTATATTCATGCATCCCTCAACAGCCAGGTGATAGCCCATGTGTATTATTGATGATGCCCTAAGAACACATGACTATGAAATGTAGAAAAAAACCTGATTGGACCTCACTTCATTCAGACAATATCTTAGTCTTCATTTGCCAAATCATGATCACTACATTGGCCCAGACTGAACTCAACAACTAATAAATGGATTACCATGGCCAAGCAAAATCAATAGGCCTCATGTTTTATACGCCCCAAAACTTTAGTTGATAACGAAATATGTGCAAATCTAATAGCATTACCGTCAGCCTGAACTTTGATTTTAGGGCCGCTGCCGTTTCTTTGATATTGGAGGGTTTTTGATGACAGTAGCCCTGAAAACCAAGATGTAGGCTTCTGATGATAAAAAACATGTGTTTGGATCAAAACACTTAAAGGTGGAACTGGAGCTTTTGATTAATGAATCTATAGCTCACTTTGAATGAACTCTGAGTAAGACAATGTTAAAGATATCCCACAAGTATCCAAATATATCATTTAAATAACAGAGAAAGTTAGAAACAAAGAGAACTTACCTCAACTGCCTCGACCTTGCTGCTTTACACACACAAATAGTTTTCTTAGCCTCCCAACGCACTTTCCAAGAAAAGCTTGGCATACAGCTGCAGTGTCCAAGGCTGCAGGAAAGAAAGGAGGTACCATGAGTTACAGAGTTTAAAAAATGGATGCTTAAAGAGTTTGTATTTGCTGATACAGAACCACTTCGGCTGAGACTGTCAATGTAGATTCACTATTGAGAGTTTAGGTTGGAAAATTAATGTTTAACGGCTTTAACTTTGTCATGTTTTCACCTTGTTTCTTCTCTTCTTTCTTTTAAGCGGGATTACACAAACAAATAATAGTGAAGTGTTTATGAAACTTGGTTTGAATGGTGCAGCAGGAGCCAAGGAATAACCCATTAAAGTTTAGATCACGGGGCGGATACACTCATTATTTTTCAATTATGGAAACGACCTTGGCAGAGGATTGCATTCTGGAAGTGCCCTTTTTATTTTTTCAGTCATTGATTGTTCTCAAAGAAAAAAGAGTTTGGTTCCTGTTGGTTGAATAAAAGTCCCCTCTACACGAGTACTTTTAACGGTGTATAAAACCACTTCATGGTGTATAAAAATCCAGTATATCCAGTTAATGCGGTTACATTTTTTGAGCGTGTTTTCCATATGTTTGATCATTCATCGCTCAGTAAGCTGGAGGGTTGAGACGGCTCGCTAATTATCCGTACATCCCGCTAAGTGTGGACCATAAAATCCTCTGGTCTTTTCCGGTTTTTCCTTTATTCTTTTATTGAGGGGATTGAGGGATTGGACGGGTAGCACTTGAAAGCTGATTATATCAGAGCCCCGCTGTGAAGAGGGCAGATAGGCAGGGCCGGAGGTGGGGGAGTAGATGGGAGAAGGGAGGGAGGGATAAGGGTGACAGAGAAGGGAGCAGGGAGATAAGAGGGAGGGCAATGAGCACAAATAAGAGCTGTTAAAGGATTACGAAATGTATTTGGACGCATCTAATTAACGAGCTCTGTGTAATCTGCTTTTTGTTGGGGGGGAACAACTGCTTTCTTTCCTGCCAACATTTACAAGTACAGTAGAAAATATGAAAGCAGCCTGTTTTAATGTCACCAAGAAGGACTACTTAAACAGAGAAAGGGTTAAAGTCTATGTTTTGGGGGTTTTCCCTTTCCTGTAGAGTGTTATATAGGTTTTAGTGCATGTAAATGGTCACACACCACCCCCCCCCCCCCTGCTTGAAACGCCTCCATTAGACTCCTTTATTTACTTCAAGAATATAGTGACATCACTATGTAACCCTCACTCTCCTATTGGCTAGCGCTCCAACACGTTGTTTGTGATAGGCTAAGGGGCGGGACATCTCTAAGCAGTTGACCAATCACAACAGAGTCGACCAGCTAACCAATCAGAGCAGACTGGGCTCTTGTTTCAGACAGAGGGTGAAAAGAGGTGCTGCAGCACAGGCAGTATGAAAAAAATAAAGAGGTTTTTGAACATTAAAGCATGGAGACATGTAGAGACACTACATACTGATATGAACCTGAAACTGGGCTCCTTTAATAATAAAGCTGTCTCCTGAACCTGGATACTGAATTGACAATCAAAGCTCAAAGGAAGTGATGTCACTGTGTTGTGTTTTTCTCGTGCTTTCATCTGTGCATGAATGAACCCCAATCAGTGAAAATGTATTTACCCTCATGTTGGCTATACTTGACAAGTCAGATCAAGGGTTCAGTTTAGTTTAACGGCATCACTTAAAAATAACCTTACATCCCAGGATCAAATGTGATTAGCAACTGTCTCATGCTGGGCCAAACTCAACATAACAATGCAGCCTGATTAGCAAGCCGCTATGTCGCTGTTTTCCCAAAATGACTTTGTTGGTTTTCGGCTTGCCACTGAGATTTCACAAAGAAAGAAAAAGAGGAGATTTTTTGAGGAATTTGTTAATTTCATGCACACAATAACACCTATGAACAAAAAGAAAAACTTTTGTGAACACACATACTATGCCTTAAAGAGACAGTACCCCAAAATCAAAACCTATTGGGCAATTTTAAATTCACATTGTTTTGGTGTTAGTTGCCGAGTGTAGGAGATAAAGGCCATACAGATGTTTGCCTTCTCTTCAAAATAACAAAACTATATGGCACTCAACTTGACCAATTTAACAGCAATCAATGTATTTAAAACATGACTAATTTACTCAGGACAATACATATATGTAGTTGTGAGCAGTTTCATATCCATTTTCTTTCGACCGAACTACACCGTGAACTGCGCAGGGAAAGCATGCATCTATGAGTGAACAACCTTTTCTGTGGATTATCACATGTTACTTGTTAGACGCTTTTATCCAAAGCGACTCAATACTGCCCAGGGACACAACGACTGCAGTGGGGTTTGAACCTGTGCTCCCCTGATCCGAACACCAACGCACTAGTCCACTGCGCCACACGCCTCCCCTCCCCAATCACAACAATAAATCCACATATAGGAATACAACATGGCAAAACAATTGAGCAAACAATTGTGAGCAGCTATGATGGATTGCTCCAGACTTCTCAAGCTTTAATGATATTTAATTTTGACAGCACATTCTTCCTCTGCCCCTCTCAGGAGTAAGCCTTGCAGCCAATCAGGAGGACGAGACGGACATGGAGACGTTTCAGATGGAGATCGACAAAGAAACCAGGAAGTGCACGTTCCGCACCAGCCAAGGGAACTACTGGGACCTGGTGGCCCACGGAGGCATCCAGAGCTCAGCCACTGAAGTGTGAGTGACTGCTTTGTGTGTTGGTTCAGAACATAAACAAACCCATAACCCTAATTCAAAGTAAAAAATACACATTTAAAATCAAGAAAACAAAAATATAGAGTAGAGGAAAAATATAATAAACATGAAAAAATTATATAAAAATTAGTAAAAATAACATAAATATAGAATAATTTAAAAAAAGGAAATATTTTCTTTAAATAAAGTAAATAATCTGAATTAAATATGGCAGACCTTCGCCGTTTTAGAGGAGTTGTTTTGTGTGGAAATGTTGAAAACCGACCACTGATGTAGTTTTTTCTTTAATCTTACTAGTTGCTTTACACTTTTTTTTTTACAAACCAAAATTATTTTCTATTAAAGCATTACAAAAATGTCCTGTGATGTGCAGGTCAGCTACCAGCATGTTTTCAGTGGAGTGGCTCGGCCACAAGGTGGCACTAAAAGCTACCAATGGGAAATACATCTGCACCAAGAAGAACGGCCAGCTGCTGGCTGTCAGTGACTCCATAGGTGAGAGACGTTTTTAATAAACATTACAACTTTTCACTAATGTACCTCCTCTCTCTGGCTGCTCTGATGTGAAAATGATGTTGGAATAAGAACATTTGTAAGTTGTCTTGTGAAAATTAAGACATTGTGAGAATAACTGTGTTCTGTGCCATACGATGCTACGAGTTGGATTTTTAACTGCTGCCCCGGAAAAATAAGTAACTTTGAAATGGTACTTTCCTAAGGGGGATGTTTTGGCATCAGTAATCTCCAGACTTTGTGGAATATATACAGAATTAAACAACGGAAAAATAAGTTTGCGATATTTAGTTTACTCATTACTTTCCTCTCATCTTCTGACAGGCGAGGACGAGCAGCTGACGTTGAAACTGATCAACAGGCCGATGCTGATCCTGAGAGGAGAGAACGGCTTCATCTGTCATCACAAGAACTCCAACCTGCTGGACGGCAGCCGGTCCGTCTACGACATCTTCAGCCTGCAGTTCAGCAACGGGGCGTACCACATCAGAGGTCAGGGGGCACACACTCAAATTGAGGATTAAAGGATTATACTTCACCTGCAAAATGACCATTTCAATAACCCACCCTGTGTTAACTGGAACTTTTGATCATTTAGACTGTATATTAAGAGCTTTAATCTGTTTTTGAAGCATTTTTACATATGTAATGTTATGGTAATGCAATGTACATATTCTAAAACGGAGCAACTGATACAAAATCCAACTTTCCCCCTGAGGTAAATAAGTTGTTTCTCAAAGATTCTATGGCTTTATTTTCAAATGCATAATAGCTACTATAGCCTAGTTTTGGCAATGAAAGTCTTACATCCAAGGCTCCTACAAAAAAGGAAGTAGTAAAGGAAGAAGTACAGTACTAGACGTGAAGGGAAAAATAGAAATAAAATAGTGTAAATGGAGAAACAAATTAACTATGCACATGTCAAATTGAATAAGATAAAGACAGACTGATTCTGTTGCTCCACTCTCATTCACTGGCTCTTGTGGTCAAACCTGCAGGAGTGGACGGTCGGTTCTGGTACGTGAACAGCTCCGGGCTGGTGTGTTCAGACGGGGAAGTTCCTGAGGATTTCACTGTGGAGCTGCTGGAGCACGGCCGCCTCGCCATCCGGGGGAAGAACAGAAAATACCTGCGAGGAGACCAGGGAGGAACGCTGAAGGGAGACGGACTCAGCCTGAGCAGCTCGGCCCTGTGGGAGTATTAAAACATTACATTATCAGTATGACGTCAAGAGTCTAAAGGTCTGTGACACTTTAAGGTGGAAGATATTTACGCACCAGAGACGAGTTGCAACTTGTACTGAATTCATCGCACATTTTCCAGCTTCCTGTTACAAAGAAGTCACAGCCTCACACCACAGGAGAGTGAGAACGAGAACCAAGAGAAGTCCTGGTGGCGTGAACAATGCTTTGGATCAAACAGCGGCATGAGTGTGAATGAACTTTAGAGTTTTTGTGTTGTTCCTTAAGATTTTTTCCAAAGAGCATGCGATGCAAGATCTATTTATTGTCCAATCTAACATCTCCATCTTTAGAAATAAAATCCTCCTTTCAATAAAGACAAGTAGACGTTCTCAATGTCCTTCAGCCCCTGAAGATGTAAAACCAAAACCTTCTTTCTCCTTGTCTTCATGTTCCCAAACGTTCTCCCTCTCCTTACAGGTGTGATATTATTGACAGCACAGTGGTAAAACTATGGTGGCCGAAAGGGGCAAACGCATTACTAAAAGCACTGCAAGAACTTTAAAACACAACGGAAACCAGGACAATGAAAAGTGATGCACACAGCGTTTTTCACATTTGCATTGCTTTTGAAACTGCAGTGAGGTTTTCCTAATGTAACTTTTTCGGCATGTTTTCCCGTCGGCCACCGTAAAAAACAGATATGCAAGACACCATCAAGCTTAAGAATTTAAATAAATGTGTAATTTGAGACAAACATACTAATCAATACAGTCAATAGCATTGTTGTCTGAGGCTGCGACAAAAGGGCGTGGATTTTTTGCATTTGTCTCCGTCTCATTCATCTACATTTACTGAAAGTACACCTGTATGGCGGGTTAGGTTTTGTTTTAGTAATGTCACATTTCTTATCAGGACGTAGAACTTGAAGTCCTTTATTGGGCAATTCCCAGCCCTACTAGTTGCTTTACATTAAGAGCTTTTAACAAAATAAAATGTCCTTTAAAACAGTAATGTTGCATGTCTTTGGTACATGTCAGAGTAAAGGTCAGATTCATTACTGAATATCTTTCTATAGGTGATGTGAGGATCCTCGCCTCAAGGTTTCACTCTCTGGTTTAATTTCACAGACACGCCTGAGTTTTAATGGAGGTTTTCCATCACAAGAACACTTCAGGTTCAATCCCTAGAATAGTTATGATGTCTATAAAAAATGAGTCTCGCTCTTGCTTTTATTCCATCAAAGCGCATTGGTGCCGTGTTAAAGGAACATGTTGAATGTCTCTCCTTGAAGAAAGGCACTGCAGGTGAGTGGGGGTTAAAACGTTAACTAATATCAATCTCAATTCAACTTCCCCAGTTCCTTACCTACATTAAAACTATATTTTTTTGTATTACAAGTTTCCTGAGATGTTATATTTAATATGCAAAAAAGGCAATATCCTATTAAATGTATGATCATTTGCAAACATTTTTGGAACAGAAATCTGCACATTTGATAAAGCTAGCTTAAAAAAAAAAACGTCCTTTTGTTGAAATACCAAAGAGAGACATTTGTATATCCATTCATCAGAAAATATCAGTAACGCGATGAATGATATATAAAAAACACGAGGTTTATCTTTTATTTTTTTAAAGCTGTAGGGAATCTATAGTAAAACACCGGTTGGAAATAATGAGTCGTAAATCTTTCTTTGTGTAGAATATTAAACGGAAACAGAATTGATATTGATGTCAAAGCGCATTTACAATAGCAATGACATTTATGATAATGTTCTTCATGCATCTGCTGCAAAGACGGGTTACAGAGCACCGGACAGAGCCGAGGGCAGGAAGTGTTAGATTATGAGGAGAGGGTTTTCTCTGAGTTCTCGGTAAACGTCAAGAAGCGTTCGGCTCATCTGCTCCGTGGACGCCCCCCCACTGAAGACCCCTGACACTCGACTTTGCTGGATCTGCTGCAACAGGTGCTGGGAGGAGAGGAGGGGGACAAAGGAAGGTTTCAAAACAACAAGATACTTTGGACTTAAACACGAATGGGGCGAAGCCTGCGAGCTAGTTCAGGCAGTCAACTCGAGCACCAATGATAGATTAACACGTGGCGCACCTCGTCCCTCTTACAACCAACCAAACACATTCTCCTAAACATGCCGCTCTATTTAAGCTGCCAGGTCTTCCTGCCTCTGCCTCGCTATGCTGCCACTGCTGCGTTCACTTGCTATTGCTACGTTCATGTTCCTGCTGCTGTGTTTCATGTTGCTGCTGCTTGCCTGCCCCCCCACCACCCCAGCTTCCACCCCAGCTTCCACCCCAGCTTCCACCCCAGCTCCCACCCCAGCTCCACCCCAGCTTCCACCCCAGCTCCCACCCCAGCTTCCACCCCAGCTTCCACCCCAGCTCCCACCCCAGCTCCCACCCCAGCTCCCACCCCAGCTCCCACCCCAGCTCCCCCACCCCAGCTTCCACCCCAGCTCCACCCCAGCTTCCACCCCAGCTTCCATCCCAGCTCCCATCCCAGCTCCCACCCCAGCTTCCACCCCAGCTTCCACCCCAGCTTCCACCCCAGCTCCCACCCCAGCTCCACCCCAGCTCCCACCCCAGCTCCCACCCCAGCTCCCACCCCAGCTTCCACCCCAGCTTCCACCCCAGCTTCCACCCCAGCTCCCACCCCAGCTCCCACCCCAGCTCCCACCCCAGCTTCCATCCCAGCTCCCACCCCAGCTCCCACCCCAGCTTCCACCCCAGCTCCCACCCCAGCTCCCACCCCAGCTCCCACCCCAGCTTCCACCCCAGCTTCCACCCCAGCTTCCACCCCAGCTCCCACCCCAGCTTCCACCCCAGCTCCCACCCCAGCTCCCACCCCAGCTTCCACCCCAGCTCCCACCCCAGCTCCCACCCCAGCTTCCATCCCAGCTCCCACCCCAGCTTCCACCCCAGCTCCCACCCCAGCTTCCACCCCAGCTCCCACCCCAGCTCCACCCCAGCTTCCACCCCAGCTCCCACCCCAGCTTCCACCCCAGCTCCCACCCCAGCTCCACCCCAGCTTCCACCCCAGCTCCCACCCCAGCTTCCATCTGTAGGCTCGGGGGATAGTTATCTAATCATCACTCATGTTCTTTGTAAATCTGTGGAGTGATGAGGCCCGAGCCTAGACGCCAAACTCAAACTATATGCTGCTATAATAAACATATTAAGAACACGTGAGTTGTCTGACTGAACTGTAGAAAATGTAGCTATAAGGGAGAAAGTGAGGTACCTCGGCCCGCTGCAGCGCCTCTCTTAACCCCAAACTCTGGACCCTCTTTGTGGACGCGGCTCTCTCTGGAGCTCTCTGCAGCAGAGTCTGTGTGAAGGAACAACAAAGTTATTATTAATATTGCTATAGTATACGTCGTGACTGTGTAAGGGAATGATTAATGTCCCTCCATCATAATATCCAAATTTGCAACGCCAAAACTAACATGTTTGCTCACTCTCAGATTCAAAAATACATAAAATAGTGCCAATGACAAAATGGTGCAAGTTAAAATGTAGCAATAAGTCAAATATGTAGATGTGAAAATGATTTAGATAGATGTGTAGCCAAGGGAAGAGAACATTCCTGCACACTGTTGTTTACTTGCAATAAAAATGTTTTGCTGACTCAGAGTTTTTAGCCCCAAGACCTTCATCTGGTGAAGCGTCTCAAGACTCCTACGTAGCCGTCTACAATAAATAGTGGTTGTACATAAAACCTTAACATTTAAGTGTCTGCAAACGTCAGACAAAAGAAAACTCTGGAAAGAAGTGTGTGTGTGTGTGTGTGTGTGTGTGTGTGTGTGTGTGTGTGTGTGTGTGTGTGTGTGTGTGTGTGTGTGTGTGTGTGTGTGTGTGTGTGTGTGTGTGTGTGTGTGTGTGTGTGTGTGTGTGTGTGTGTGTGTGTGTGTGTGTGTGTGTGTGTGTGTGTGTACCTGTACTCGCCGCAGCACAGCGTGGTGCAGTCCACACACCGCTGCTAGAGACGAGCTGTGAACCTGAACCTCCACTGTGTTCAGGGACTCCTCCACCCCTACATTCACCTGGAGAACAAAGCACTGTTTGATCATAAATACACACAAAATGTACCTTTATGAATATATTATCAGATTATTCTTTACCTCTTTGGCAGTCAGTTTGACAGCATGTCTGTTTAGACTTTGTGCATGCACCACTGATCCCCTCAATGCGATTTGGTCTTCTTTTTGTCCCGTCGTCACTCCTCCAGGACCTTCAGACAGCAGCCACTCCAGCAGGGAAAGGCACACATTCTCAGGAGCCGTCTTTGCAGGGTCTAAATCTGAGCTTTTTGCCACCATAAGTGTGTCCCTTAGTAACTCTGCAGACACCCGTACACTTGCTGAATACTTTAAACCACTTTCTCCTCCTCCCTCTGCGTTTCCACCGCACCTTATTCGATGTGACCTTAGAAAAGCTTCAATGGCATCTGTCGCATGAGGCGTGATCTTTTCCTGGGCGGCTTTAGAGCTGCTCACCTGCAGGGCGTGCAGCCAATCCACTGTCAGGGTGTTCAGGGGCAAACTGATGCAGCTGCTCTGCAGAGCGGGAAGGTTTGCAGCTTCCTCCCCCAGGAGGCTGGTGAGGGAGAAGAGGAGGGAGCAGCTCACTGTCACGGGGAAGGATGATTCGCCTGCAGCTGCTAGAGGCAAAGACACGTCTAACGTCTCGCCTGGATGGAGGCTTTGGAACGGGAATGAAAAGTTTGTGGAGAGGTTTTCTCCTCCTGCACTGGGAGAAGGACACAGAGGAAACACAGTGATGCTTAACGTCCAGCCTCGCTCCAAAACATAAGCACTGGAGTTATCCAGGACACATGTGAGGGTCAGGGAGTCTTCCTGAAGCAATCTGCTCCAACTGGTCGAAGCTCGACATCTGATTGGACTCTCCTGGAGGGGAGGATGCTCTGCACCGTTTGCACCTGCCATCAACAGGAAGCTGATGTTGAGCACTTGATTCAGGTGCTGGAGAATCTGGTTTTTGGATTTGATGGATGTTTTCAGCACAGATGCTCTAAAGGAGAGGACGGAAAATGACATTTACATGAACAGAAAGATAATATTAAAAAGGCACATAAAGTCATTTATTTGCCACAAGGGGTTTCTCAATCAAAACCATAACAATCGGCAGAGTCTGGATGTTTTGTGAAGTAGTGGGATCATGGTTGTCATCGCCACCATTTCCACAATTCACTAACTATCCACAAAGCTCTCTTCAAGTGTATGTTTATGTTTTTCTGACTCAATATCCAGAAGTTTGATGGCTTAAATCCGACCCTTGCCTAAAATAGAAAATAGAGAACGACCGAAATTTAAAAAGTGCCAAAACTGGTTAAAAAGTGCAATTATTATGTTTCTGGCATACAATATGGGATATTGGATATGTTGCTATTACCGGAGATCAAATGAAACATGGAAATGTGGATTTCTATGGTTTTGGTATAATGTAAGTACACAACTCAATAAAATACAAACAAACATCCAGTAGTTCTTAGAGATTTGAATGCAGAAATGTTACATGTTATGACTACTATAAATGTTTATTGTGTTGGGTTCACCTTTCACAGACGTCCCCGATGGAGGACAGCAGGTCCCTGACGCTGCGGCCGACCTGAGAGTCTGACCCCGAGGACAATCTGCTGTCCTCTGTCCTCACAGGGAGACGGATCCTCTGCAGCTGCCCTCTGACAGACAGACCCAGCAGCTCCACTACACCTGCAGCTATAAGGCAAAAATAATCAGGATAGTCACAGGTTGAATGGAAAGAAGGGTTCATGTCTGCTGAGGACTTGATGCACGCAATCAATATTAAATGTAACAGTGTAAAGATACATTTTCTGGTTTAAGACATTATCGCTACTTTACTTTTACTACTGTGTGAAGGGTTCCTACACCTTGTTAAACAATACATCCAAGGTCTTTTATGAATGGCAGAGACATAGTATGAGACACAGATCAAGGTTATTTATTTTTACAACACTGAGCATTTGATGAGAAATGGCAGCCTTGAATGTGTGAAGACTTCTCAACTGTGCTGTAACAGTGATGGCAGAATTCAAAGTACTTACATTTCAAAGATGAATGTCTATTTCCAAACACCTTCAAAGCCTTAATGTTTCCCCTTTAATTCAAGAATGTTCTGTATGGAAAGTCAACTCTCATGCAGAGACCGCAAATCAAACAGTGAGAACCTTATGTCGCCATTCTTTTCTCATGAATTATGTCAAGTCACCTCTCTGTGAAAAGACATTGGTAATTGGTTGACACACTTTTAATGAAAGGCCTGTTTACCTGCAGTGTTGCATGTCGGCGGGGCCAAAGCGACGACTCGACACACATTCAAACTGGTGGGGCTTTGGAGGGCAGCGTCCATCTTTCTGCGTGTTTCCTCATCCTTTCCTTGGCCTTCCTCTCCAGATTTCCCCTCTGATAGATCCAGCAGCAGCAGGTCTGACCCCGTGCTATAGTAAACAGTGTTTTTATCCACACAGCCACACACCACAGGCCCCGGTACACACCCCTCAATAAAAACGTTCCCTCTCCCCTCTGCTGACCCTCCTTTGTCGGCTTTCATCAGCACCACCCTCCCCAGTTCACCCACTGCCACCAAACACCGTCCTGGACCCGATGATCCGACAAATACGACGGGCTGCTCCAGGCTGTGCAGGACTCGGAGCCTCGATCCTGGGAGACGCAGAGGGACGAAACACACGCACCCGTCTGGAAGGCCACACAGGATAACGGGGGATTTGGCGAGGGCGACATCGACCCCAAAAAGAAGTTTGAAGAGGACTGAATCGAGGTGAAAATGGCCCTGAGTTGGAGCTTCATCTGATGAGGAATTAGAGGAGGAGGGCGATGGTGTTGCATCCCTTGAATGAACACAAATCAGCACCGGACTTCTTCTTATTTCTGTTTTTTCCTCAGTGTTTACATCTCCTGAGACCTGACTGAAAGAGCAGAGCTTCTCGTAGTTTGAGGATTTGTACAGAGTCAACATCCAGGATGCGTCTCTTTGGGAAAGAGTCACAAGCACGGAGCCGACGAGGAGCAGCGATAACACTCCTTCTTCGGCAACGACCAGAGACTCAGAGGAGATTTTCAGTTCAGATGGACCAGAGGAAGCATCAGCTGGGGAGCCTTTAACCCTGCGGGGGGGGGGGGGGGGGGGGGGGGGGGGGCATGTATTTAAGAGGCATTGACAGGATTGAACACGATATCGAACATATGGATTATCTGTGAACTAGAAGAGAGGTTTTTATAGTGGGAGGCAGGCCTTTCCCAGACGGGGGCTGAAAATTATTTGATAGGAGGCTCAGTGAAACAATTTTAAATGAATTATCAAAAGAAGATCACATAAAGTAGCCCAAATGTGTGAGATTTAATTAAAGACATTTAAAAGATACGGAGGTTTGTGGAGATGCACTGTTCTCTAACTTTCCCAGAGTGAGAAGCTATTAAATGCGTTATGAGCGACATTTTTATTTATTTTGTGTAGTCTGAAATTATAGATGGCCCAAACAATGCAACAAAAACAAAATATTTATATGCAAGACTTTTAAAGGTTTGGCTTAATTGAAGAGTATTCTTGGTAGTGTGTATCCTGATGGTTTACTACCCTTTTTATACGTTGTTTTGGATAAAAGCATCAGCTAAATGAAATCTAATATTGAAAAAAATCTTAGGCTATCTTGGGTCGACTATTGGGTCTCTATGGGATCAATGAAATAAACATGAGGCCATTTGATTTGGGGGTTATGCTAACTTTGTCTGAGGGAAGCCCCCTTAAAAGCCCTGAACATACTATTGTGCTGCAGTAACATTGGAGCACCTTTATGTGGGTCCATACCTGGATAGCAGAAGTTGTGAACCGACACAATAGACTCCGCTCCTACAGGCTACATAGAGGCGCTGCTTATCATGACTCACAACCAGGTCACTCACAGGACCAGGGCACTGGAGGACAGTCTGAAAAAACACATCATAAGAGAATCAAACACAGAAAATGTGGACGTAAAGTTATCTTTAGATATCTAGATTTGCGCCTGTCAGTGTAAAGCATATGGTGGTGGACAGTTATTTAGTACTGTACCTGAGCGGATATATCCATTTTCAGACAAATACTGTTGTTTTTACTCACCTACATTTGTTTGATAACTTTGCAGAATCAGATTCTGATTAATAGTCCAATTCATAACGAAAAAATAATGTATTATGTACTTTTAAAGTTTTAAAATAGCGTTGATCCCTCAAGGAAATTCACAAGCTAATATGAAGGTACACAAAAGCTAATTCTTTACCAGCTGCACACATCGATGAACACGTTAATGCATCAATAAATAAATATACAATATTATAAAATGTTTTAATGGGACAGTTTGCAGAATGAGTACTTTTACTTATTGTACTTCAGGCACATTTTGACGCTTATTCTTTTACTCAAGACATTTTGAATTTACTTGTAGAAGAGTATTTCTACACTGGGACATTGCTACTTTTATTTAAGTGTAAGTACTTTGTCCACCACTGAAAGTACATGAGTTATTTACCTTGAGTTTCCTCTCCTGAGGGCTGAAAACATAAGCCTCGTCGCTTCCAGTGCAGAGGAAAACATCTGTCCCAAAACCACACCTGATCCTGGGTGTGCACGAGGTTCCTGCAAAGCCAAACTCTGCACAAGTCTCCACAGCACACCGTCCGTCCATGGCACATCCATGGTCCATGGTCACACCAACGAAGAAGAAACTGTAGTCCGCATTTGTAACGCTAGGTACTGTTGACACTGTTAATTTAGTGAGTGATAATAAAGGGTAAAATTGTGGCAAAATGGACAAGGTACTCCAGTCCTGAACCGGTTGTTGATAGAGGAAGGGAAGCCCCTCACAGAATTCCGCGCGTCGCGTTTTGGACCAATGAGAGCAAAGAACTACATTACCCATGAAAATGTGACGTTTTTTTTTTTTAATGTTTTTTTTTTTACCAGACTCTCAGGCTTATTCAGAAAAGGCGCTGAATATAAAAACAAATCTGACCTGTAAAATGCTAACAAAAATACATTACAAATAATGACGTTTTTTAAGCCAATTCTATAAGTCATTTGATATGAAGACGACAAAAAAACAACAATGTGGTGTTGTCGTATCAACAGAATACAAGGATGCCAAGCAAAACAACAGTGTGTGAAACATGCACAGACACATACATTAATAAATATATACATGTAAGTGAAATGTGTGTTCTGTTTTATTCTCAACTTTTATTATTTTATTTACACATTTCTTTCCATATTTATTGATTTATTTTTGTATTCCTGTATTTCTTCCTGTATTTATGCATTTATTAATTGTTTTTCTCATGTCATGTTCTGTCCTCCATACCTGTGTGCTCGTTGTGTGCATCAAGGTACAAATTTACTCAATCACATCACAATAACACTTATAGTTCATTGGTGGTCCAGAGGTCTATTCATTGGTTTTTCATGAAGGATTCAACACTTAGGGGAGGGACATCGTTTGTCTTCTGCTTTGCTGAATTTAATCTGGATAAATTGTCCCCACCACTTTTTCTAACAAAGTATACAAAGACCCTGAACATAAAAGTCATCCAATTGTTTCTCATAATACAAAAAGTGAAGATGATGTAGGATTCACATTTATTTATGAATGTATGGAAGGTGGGAGAAATGTCTTCCAAACATATGTATTTAAAAGTAATGTTTAAAGTTATTTTTTGTTCAAGTTCAGCTCCAGTAAAAGTTTACGGTAAATGCTTCACACTGACCACTGGGTGGCGGACCTGTGTATTTATTTTCACGTTGATCCACGAAGAAGAAATCCACCAATCAAAACAGTCGAAGCGAATTTCGCCAAAATTTGAAATCACCCTCCGCTCTGTGGCTTTAGCTGTTGGAAACATTCTGGTTGAAACAAAAGTTGTTTACGTCTATTTTAACTATACAATGGACCTGTTTAGCGAACACTCCGTCGAAATGTTCTTTTATGAGAACAGACTGAAAACTTTCGAGGGGTGGCCGTTTGAAGAAAACTGTTCGTGTACGCCGGAGAACGTGAGTAAAAACGGTTGATCCTGCTAACAATGCTAACAGCTAACACAACAACTAGCTGTAGCTAAAGTTAAACACATGTTAATAATGAAATTAAATAACCTGGGTTTAATCGACCTGCAGGTTCACCGACAATAAATAATCCCTCTTGACTTTTGCTTTAATGTAGAGCAACGTTGGCGTTGTCAATACTTAAAAAGGTTATATAAACACAACGTTTTGCAATAGCATAAACCTTTGCGTAGCATAGCATAAACAAAGGTTTAACGCAGGGGTACTCAAATACAAATCTTAAAGGTCCAAAATAAATGTTTCAATAAGACAAAGGTCCGTTTATTACGGTCATTCAAACTTTTAAACAATTGCAACAAGATTCTTAACACGAGGTTGCAAAAACAAAAATAATCTGTATGCAGCAGTTTTCATTGTTATTGTTTCTGTGCTTGACCCCTCAGAGTCGCAGTGTAAGAGCTGCACAGTTATGAATAAAGGCAGCTGCACCCTCTTTCATTCAGCATTCCCATTATTGCTTTATAAATGTCTTGCCCCTTGTGCGTCCACTGAGGTTCGTCAGGCCCAACACATCTTCAACAAACTCCCCCTTTGCCTCATCATAAAAACTCACAAACACCAGCAACTGAGCATTGTCAGTGGTGTCAGTGGACTCACCCACAGCTAAGGAAATGCACTGTGCATTTTTTATTCCATCACAAAGCTGATTAATCAAATCACCAGCCAGTATGTATGTTCTTCTGGTTGCTGTGCAATCTGAGAGGGGATTTGCTTGATTTGACCTGTTATTTCCTCTTTTTGTTTGCCTTCAACATGGTCTCCATCACTTCAGTCATACATTCTTTTATACTTCAGTTATTATCCAGTGGAAAGTCCTTACCTGCTGGCCTAGTTCAATCAAAGTGGTTACTTTTGTTTGGCTGGGCAGTGTAGTTTTACACACCGTCTGATTTGACTTTCTCAGGACTTAAAACAGTTTTTTGGGGGCAGACCCCCTCAAAGAAAACAATATATTTACACACGTAAGGTCATCATCTTAATAGTTGTGTATGCTCATCCGTGAGCAGAGCATCAAGTTGACATGTCTATTACAGCTGAATGCGGCGATTACCATCTTGTTCAGCGAAACGCCTCACAAACGTATTAAGATCAACAGCTTTAGTGCGTTTTGATTCAATGCTGAGTACAGTCATACTGACAGTCTCTTCTCTGTCATTGTAGACCGCAAATACCTCATTCCTTCAGCGCTTGGGTCCGAATGCTTCTCGTTTTGCGCCGTCCAGTTAAAAATGAAATCGCCGCCAAATCGTATGTCCACGCTCGCGCCAGGACCGGGGGAGGGGTTACATGACGTGCATCTTGTGCTGCATTCACTTGCACTCGGACATTAGAGACTTTCTCTCATAAATGTCCGATGAGCCACAACTTTTCTTTCAAAACAAAGCTGCCAACTGGGGTGGCAGCTGGGGTGGCAAGGCCTATTTTTAGGGTGTCAGTTGCCACCCCGGTAGGTGAAACTAGGCTACTAGCTACAGTACAGATGGAACTAGATGAGCTGTTAACTCTCGCTCTGAATTTTTTAAGTTTTTGTTTTAATTCTCGCTCTGACTTAGACAGGTTGAAAGAGACACACACATTTTTCCCACCCGCATTCCGCGAAGACCCGCCCTACTGTGCCTCTGATTCGCAGATTGTTTGGGGGAAAAAAACGCTGACTGGATGCTGAATGTGATTGGACCAAAGCGTTGACACACACAGGTGGAACACAGTGGAACAGTCAGACATGCAGAGCGCTGTTTGCAGTGGACATAGCGGAGAATTTTGACTCGTTGCGAATGCGTTGTGGCGATGTCTCACATATAATACAGAGAGATCATACATATGAAAAGTATAATTTGCTCAGAGTCCGGAGACAGTGGTGGTTCGGTCCGGATCCGGACCAGAGTCCGTAGTTTGAGGATGCCTGGTTTAACGTATGTAGGATAGATATGTAATGTGCAAAATGGAAAACAAGTGGTTGTTGCTCAAAATAAACGTCGCGATAATTTGGGAATAGTTTATTTTCTAAGTACTAATTTAAGCATAGAAGTAAATGGTCTAAATGGTTACTTTCAAAGTACCATTATTTAAAAAGTCTATTAAAGGGCATTTTCCAAGGTATTACATTTTGTAGCTTGTTTTCAATAAGTATATAAATGGTCCAAAGAGGTTGTATTCTACAGTCTGCCTGAATGTAATCATTGCGTAGGTGTGTAGTGTGATTCTGTGTAGTTTATTGATCCGTTGGGTTTGACGTCATCTGAACAGGACATCGCACGCTCACTGCTTGATAGCGCGCGGAGGCCCGTTTACGCCGGTTGCTAAGCAACATCGTTACGGGGAAATGCAAGTCTGCGTCCAAATGGTTGGAAGATAAGGAGGAAGGACAATCAATACTGTATATAGTCAATGTGAGGTAAAGTGTGTCGCCAAGGTAACCGGTTAAAACTCAAAGTGGCGATGAGGTCTTAAAATGTATGGAAAGGGTCTTAAAAAAGGTCTTAAAAGGTTTTACATCTGACTTCAGGATTCCTGCATATACCCTGAATGTGGTCTGTCTCTTCCATTGTTTCCCCAGATGGCCAAAGCTGGCTTCATACACACTCCTTCAGATAACTGCCCGGACATCGCCATGTGTTTCTTCTGCCTCAAAGAGCTGGAGGGCTGGGAGCCAGACGATGACCCAGAGTACGATGATCACATTACTAAACGTACTGCTCAGAGAAGAACCATGGATGAAATATTAGTCTAACTCATCACTCTTTTGTTTTTGTTGCCAGAAAGGAGCACAAATCTCATTCGGCAGCCTGCCAGTTCATCGCCTTGAAGAAGAAAGTAGAAGAGCTGAACGTGGAGGAATTCTTCAAACTACAGAAGGAGAGGCACAAGTTCCAGATTGTACGTTTTAGATACAACTATGTTACTGCCAACGTACTTCTCCGATCTGTTTTTCTTTAATCCTTACTTTTTGTTACGCATTTTAAAAACTGCACACAATTACTTATCCAAATTTAATTTCCTTCCTTCCCTCAAAGATAAAATCCTGTAACGACGACATCACCAAGTTTGAAAATGCAGCCAAACAGAGACGAGCCGATATCATTAAGACGGCCATAGTGGAAGAGTGACACGATGACGGATGCAGATGAATGAGAAGATGAATTGTAGTTGGCTGACTGACTTGATTGATATCCGAGATTCCTTTATGTCTTCTTTGTAACTGTCATATTTTATGTAGTCTTTTTTTGTAGTTTTTAATCAATAAACATGTTCTTTCTACCTTCATTTATGTATCAGGGTTCTTACGGTCATTAAAAACCTGGAAAAGTCATGGAAATTCAAAATGCAAATTCCAGGCCCTGGGAAAGTTATGGAAAACAATATTTTTCCCAAAGTTTTGGAAAAGTCATGAAATGTAACTAAAGTTGCATCAAATATAATTTATATTTTATCTAATCGACGAAATAGTAATACTATAATGATAATAAATACTGTAACGTATAGTAATGAAACGTAAAATGGCTTTTAACTGTCAAGGTATTTTGCTGGTGAGAGATTTGAGTTGCTTTAGCGTGTAGAAGCTAGTAAGCCTACTATTGGATTTGTTTTAGATAGGCACGACATGTTTCATATCCAGACCTTATTTTCCTGTTCCATGTTAAAATAAACCATTTTCACTTTCAGTGGTATCGCTGAGAGTACATTTTTTGGTCATGGAAAATTAGGTAAAGGTCATGGAGAAGTCGTTCAAAAAGTGTATGAACCCTGATGTATGTATTATCTCACTGGGGGTTATTCCTGGTTCAATTAACTTTTGACAAAAACTTGATTCTGATGTTAAATACTGAAATGAGCCATCTAGGTGCATGTGTGAAACTGGCAAGAGGAAAAGCTATACACTCAATTATAAAGGTCTGGCTTTATTTTAAGTAATATTTACTGTTAAAATATGATATTTGATTTGTCCAGTGATGCTCGTTTAACAACCCAATATACGTTTTTACAAATACGTTTCCTTTATAATTACATGATAACGCAAGCTTGGAAAGCATAGGAACATCATCAGGTTACACTACTATGATATTGTCATAGACTAGGTTACTAATAAGTAAGTGTAACGGAATAGCTTTTTTTAAGTAAACCTGCTGACTAATGTCTCCAACTATTCCCTTATGATTGTCTTGCGTAAACGTGTGCGCCTCCGGATAAATCAAGTCCCTCCCAGAGAAGAAGAAGCTGTTCGCGCATCTCTCTCACTTCATCATTCAGTCCGGGGTTAGTTCATCTCCGTCCTGCAGATCTATCCCGGACAGAACACATTTTGGATAACCTTTTATATTATGGGGATTTATTGCGCTTCGACGATTAAAAGATTGGATCAACACTGAAAGAACATCTGCGTTACGCGCGAGTTAATCCCGTAACCGTTTTACGCGTGAAGTGATCCTCACCTGCGGGAGGATGAAGGTGACTCTCGGCTCTCTGGTGATCACAGCCGGGATCTGCGGACTGCTGAGCTTCGCTTTCCTGGCCACTTCCCTCGGAACGCAGTACTGGTACATCATAGAGATGAATCCCATGAATGTGAGTGACTTTGAGGACATGAGCTCCCACTCGGGACTGTGGAGCATCAACGAAGGTAATAACTCTCTTTTTGTTATTGACATTAGTGCTGCTATATTGGGGAGCATGAGTGGGGGTGAAATAGAATTGAATGACAACCATTTTCATTATCTCTGTTGGACTCTAATGTATTATTTCAGGCTTTCTAGTGATGGAGTAAATAATTGGACAATATGTATATGACTGAAGTGCTTTTTTATTGTGACTACAGGTGAGAAGAACGTAGACTCCATTGACTCTTTCACAGCTGACGAGTCCAGATACTCTGAGACTGAGCTGCACATGCTGAGTGAGTCTCCTTCATCTGAATAATGTTTTATTGAAACACTAATAAGTCATTCACAGTGAGATTGAAATGAAGAATTAATGAAAAACACATAAGCAGAGATGCATAGGCTACTTGTACTGTACTTCTATCCAATTTGAAATCCTGTAATGTTTTCTTAAATGCAACAATATCTCTTGGATCCAATAATCACCTCATGTATTACGCCAGGAATGAAAAGTATTATGTCCTAATATGTTGGCTATTCTGACACACAGCCCTTTAACTTTAACTTTAAGGTGCATTGGATGACTTGTATGTCCCAGTTGTATGCATGCAATATGTACTTAGTTAGGGCCCCTGTAGAACATATTCAAAGTTAAAGTGTGTTTCCAAAATTCTTCAAACCGCCTCCATCTTGGATAAAACCCTGTGGTTCAAATAATCACCGATAAGGATCTTGCATTGTCCACACATGCATAACTCAACACATGCTTCATTATACACCTGTTTGTGTGCACGTGTGTGTCTGCAGGTATGCACAGTGCCATCGTGGTGGTGCTCCCCATCAGCCTGGTGCTGCTGCTGTTCGGTGCGATCTGTGGGCTGGTCAGCTCTCTAGCCCGGAGCCCCCTCCTCCTCACCGGCACCGCCGCCTACTTCTTCATCTGCAGTGAGTCCAGCTCCAGTTTCCTCCACACTTACTCAAGGACTGTAGTACTTACATTTACTTGAGTATTTTCCATGTTATGCTTCTTAATACTTCTACTCCACTAGATTTTGGAAGCTAATATTGCACTTAGGACTCCACCACATTTATCTGACAGCTTTAGTTACTTCACAGATTTAGTTTTGAGCTAACACAGAATGTAAATCAACAGTGACATTATTATAGGGTAAGACATCCAGCAGCAGTATAGTCATTCAAATTAGCTTCACATTTACAAGCATTGATGAACATAAAGCATCAATAGTCATATTCCTGTAATATAGATGACGCTGTAATGAGTCATAATGCATAACAAATGCTCTTATTTTTGTTACTTAAGTGTATTTAAATACAATAGTTTTGTACTCAAACATTAATCAGACTATGAATGCTGGACTATACTTGTAATGGAGTTTTGTTTTACAATTTAATATTTCTAATTGCACTATCTAGATCTACTTCTTCCATGACTGGCTCCCAAATCTGCAGATGTGTTTCGTGCACCCGCTGAGATATGTTGTCATCAATTCCAGTTAGAGCAATTAGATAAAAAACAGCAAGGCTTTGCACTCAAGATGAATCACAGCTACTATTACTACTGCCACTACATCAAAGAGCTTCAGAAGCCAGAGTAGGAAGTCCCCCATGTGAACAGTATGGACAAAGCTCTCTCACAAATACTGCGCCTGGGATTTTCTTTTTATCTGGAAGACAGTGCTGCTTTTATATGGCCCAACTATTGAAATTACACATTGTGGAAGAGATGGTGTTAATAAAAACGACACAATATATCACATTAAGTGCAAGAAAGAGAGTCATTCTGCTTTGGATCATTTACCTCAGCGTTAAATAAAGCCGCAGCCATTACGTGCCGGTATAAAGGAGTCAATTGTCGCGACACACGTTGTTAATGATCTTTGCACTCAAATGGCACTGCGCAGGAAACACGATACCTCAGTGTTTCTGTGCAACGCTCTCACACCTTTTCCACCACAGCATTTTCCTGACATACATGCAGTGTGACAATGAGACCAGTGCATGAGAAGTACTCCTAATGCAATAAGGATTTGAACAATTATCCTTATTTGGGCTTTTTCATGCCAAAAAACATTTAAATCAAAGCATAGTTTAACTGCAACGCAGTTAAATAATAGATAATGGCATGTATATGTAATATTTAAGTCCCTTTGTAAGAAGAACAAAGGCAGAATACTCAGAAAATATGTATTTATGCTTGTTTTTTTGGTGAGATTAGAACTCGGTCACGATCAATGCGGTGTGTTTTATTCGGTATTTAACTCACTGTTGGTTTTTATAGAAGAACTAGGACGCTGTGCAGGGTTTGTTGGACTATATAAGGCTGGAGTTGGCATTAGAGCAAGCCATGATGGTTCATTTGTGCAGACGGGAACACGTTATGTGCACTGCTGTGTGAAACCGACCTTCTGTATAGTTATTGACCTCATGAGGCCAAACGAACTGACCGAGTGTGTTATTACAATAAAGACTGATTGGCTGTTTTATTCGGCCATATTGGTTAAGTATGCATGAACGGGTGTGTGTGTGTGTGTGTGTGTGTGTGTGTGTGTGTGTGTGGTGTGTGTGTGTGTGTGTGTGTGTGTGTGTGTGTGTGTGTGTGTGTGTGTGTGTGCGTGTGTGTGTGTGTGTGTGTGTGTGTGTGTGTGTGTGTGTGTGGGGGGGGGGGTCTAGCATTACTATACTTGTGGGGACCTAAATCTGTTTACATAGTCACGTGTGGGGACTGGCTTCTCTTATGGGGACAAATTGGAGGTCCCCATGAGGGGAATCATTAATTTTAGGGTGAAGACTTGGTTAGGTTTAGGGTTAGGGTTAGGCATGTGTTGGTTATGGTTAAGGTTAGGATAATACTCCAGGAAATGGATGTAAGTCAATGTAATGTCCCCTGAAGTGATGTATACATGGTGTGTGTGTGTGTGTGTGTGTGTGTGTGTGTGTGTGTGTGTGTGTGTGTGTGTGTGTGTGTGTGTGTGTGTGTGTGTGTGTGTGTGTGTGTGTGTGTGTGTGTGTGTTGTGTGCGTGTGTGGTGTGTGTGTGTGTGTGTGCGCGTGCATGTGCGTGCGTGTAAGAGTGTGTCTTGTTGCTGTTAGAAGCCTTCCTTCACTCCTCGTATGTGTTAGGAGAGATTTTATTGGTCTGTGGAGAGATGTAACAGAGGTCTTTATTTTCTATGTTTTCTATATCTATACACAGTTTCATGACGGCCCTGCATGTTAAATCAGAACAGTGACCGTGTTTCACATTAATTATCTAGCCTGTGGCTGTAATCTCATTTTCATTTACAAAGGAAGTCCCAACATTCTTTCCACATTGGAAATACATGGAAACACGTTGTGTAAAGGAAATAAATACATAAAAACAACACCATGCTCTCACAACCAGTGGCTGTTCATTTAATAAGAGGGGCATATTTAATGTAGATTTTAACATTTTGAGTTTAGTATAAAGTAAAAAAAGCAACATAAAATACCATTATTGATGTTTTATTTAGTTTGTTTCATGACTTTGTTACAATTATCATGGTTTTTTAGCTTTGGCCCATGATACAGAACATTAAAAGAAGATTGGGGTAATAAATGCATTATTTGTTTTACGTTGTTTTTATTTTATTTCTTAACATTTGTTTCAGTAACTTAGTTTCAACTTATTAATTTACATTACTGGAAAAAAATCCCTGTTAACTTTAGCCCCGCTTACAGCAAAGTAACCTTGTTTATCTGTACAACTTGTGTGTTTAGCTATATTGGATTAGGAGCACACCATCATTAATCAGAAGTTGGTAAGAAGAGCACACACTTTTCCTTTTCTCTTACTTCTTAATTTTGCTCCCAAAGTGCATACAATTGCCCTCTGCTCCTGGCACTAGACTCCTGGTACTAGGATGGGTTAAAAGCAGTGTGTGCTCTCAGTGTGTGACCATTAAAGAGGGTTTCATCCCTCCGATTCTATCTAATTAATTCAACTTAAATTAAATTGTACATAATTGTCTTAGATGTGGCAAAGTAGATTTGCATCAGAAAAAATGGCAATCAAAATGTGTGTTTCTCTAATGTTCTGTATATTAAAGGGGACCTATCATGCAAAATGCACTTTTTGATACATAGAGATGTGTCCCCGGTGTGTCAGGGAACTCACGCAGCGTCAGAAAATAAAACCCTCTCTCTTTTCCTCCGTACTCAAATCTCTAAAAACGGGGCTACAACGGAGCTGATCCAGGTTTGCGTCCGATATGACGTAATATCTGAAATGTAGGCTGGCTTTACACCCACGGGCCAATCAGAAACAATGCCCGACTGTTTTGGACGTAATGTGGTCGGTGTTTACATTAGCATCGCTAACACTCAGAGCTAACCTGTACTGGAGAGCATGTGTGTGAAGAAGCAGGAAGTAAAAAGGAACTCACCTTGTGGTGTAACCGGCAAGAGAGAAAGCCTTTGAGCTCCAAACTGTTTCAGAGATAATCCTTGATATTCCATGATATGGCGTTTCATCACGGCAGCATTTAGTTTAGACAGTAGCTGCCGGGTCCCGCATGAGCTCAGCCCCCTTTTTTATTTTGTATCAATTATTTTATTTTTAAAGCTTTATACTTAAAATCTGCATTTTTTAATCAGGAAGTGAAATAGAGGGATATGAGGCATGGCTAGAATGGGTGATCTGTTTGGTATTTTGATAAAAAAAACTTCATAGACATGTTTTTTATATATTTGTATATATCTGAGACCTATGCTATTGCCTAAAAATAGCATGATTGGTGCATTTTAAATCATGCCATCTTTACATGGACTGCACATGCTGGAACATACACTCGTAGGTTATGGAATATTTGCTCTGATTTCAACTTAACAACAAGGGAAATACTTTAAATCAGTGGTTCTCAACTGGTCAGGCCTCGGGACCCACTTTTTCATTTGTCAATAAATCGCGACCCGAAATTTTTAACCACTAAAATCTATTCAACAAAAAATCGTGCTGTAATATATACTCGTCTTTTCAGCATACAATATTAATTAAAGTGAAGTACAGTGCATATATCCCTTATATCCCTTCACACAACTAAATAATGCTTTTAAATAAGGTTTAATGAGATGATGGAATCAAAGCTGAACTGTTTAACATAAAAAGGCACACATGCTGAAAACCCAAACCCAGAAGGGGGGTCTGGGGGGATTTTTAGAAATACTAACATATAAACTACGCATTCTGGTACAGTCTGAGAAGAAAATAAATAAATATATTGCTAGCTACCGGACATATTAATAATATGTTATGCCATTGTTTGTTTTTCACTTTGTTCTGACAGCTTGCTGCTCCACACAGAGAAGAGCAAAGAGGGAATTAATTACTTTAAATTGTGGGTAAGGGTAGATAGCTCCCATTGTTCTGTGACCTGTCATTCATCAAACCGGGGGTCATATTTCATTTGTATCTGAAGTTGTACCCATGGATGTATAAAGAATAGTTCTACCGCAAAGTTATTCTCCGTGGGGACTTCCGGCAACAATCTTGATTCTGATTGGCCAGAAGACTCGAAAAAACATCAGCAAAGATATTTTATTGAGAAGATGATCACTACGTGACAGCAGTTTTCAAAACCGTTTATGGTCTCCGGTACTTCCAGTCCAACGCCTACTGCATGCACAGCGTTAGAACATCGGGCCTTCAAAATAAAAGTTTGACTTTTTTCCACACAAAAAAAAAAAGAATCAAAAATTGTTTTCTTCACTCACACATCTGCGACCCACTCGAAACGGGTCCGCGACCCACCAGTTGAGAACCACTGCTTTAAATCTCTTAAAATGTGTCAATTAAAAAAGGTTGGCCATGTGGTTAAAATCACTATCACATTTCTTTTTTTAAATTGATGCAACGCTCTCACACGTGAAATAAGCAACTGAAAATGTAAAGAGAATATTAAAGCAGTTTTCAAATACATTGTCTTTATTGATCCTGTGATTTTCTCCTCTCATTTGAAAGCCAGGAACACAGAAACTGTTGAGATGCAGATCTATAAAAAGCTGTCTCTTCATACATCAGATTCTCTGTTAATATGCTCTATGCATGGGTTAATTGAGATTCAGACAAAGGCACTTTCTGATTGGGTTTTTTTAAATTTATTTGGAAAAGTAATTGATCCTGTCTAAATACTAACATGAAGGAGGTTTTGGTTTGTAACTGCTGCACATGTCAAAAACCTCAAATGATCTGAACTGCACGATGTAACTCCTTTCATGATTGGAAATATTCACGAGGTGTTTGAGATACAGCGCAGAAAACCAGCATTCATTCAGACACATTTAAAAGAGCTGAGAGAACATGCTACTTAGAGCTAAACAAACCCTTTAAGGGTGACTGTGGCTGCGAGGGAGTGCGGTCGTCTTTCAACCAGAAGGTTGTGGGTTCGATCCCAGCCCATGCAGTCAACATGTCGATGTATCCTTGCAAGATACTTAACCCTGAGTTGCTCCCGATGGCATGGCCAACGGTGTGTGAATGTTAGTTCCTAGACTAGAGTAAGGTACACTGCTCTGTATGAATGGTTGTGAATGGGTGAATGACATGTGGTATGTAAAGCGCTTTGAGGGTTCGTAAAGACTGGATAAAGCGCTATTTAAGTACAGTCCATTTAAGAATAATGAATCTGATCTGGTTATAAAATGTAAATCAGGGTCCTTGTCAGATTGGAGCAATTAAGTAAATAGAGCTGGATTACTCATCATCCAAATGTTGCCTAATTACAAACGAGGTGTGTTTCGAGTCCGTGCCATGAAGTGAAAATATGAATGAAAAATGAAAAAAGAAAACCATAGTTTGTAGTTATTGACAGTATTGAATGTTAAATTAAATGTTAGATAATTCAATTAAATATTAGAATATAACATTAACATGTAATTTAACTTGATAATTATTTAACCTAGAAACCAATGATATAAATGTGTGAGAGTTAGATTACCGTTAAGCACGTTAACACTATTATATTAACCTGGGTATTTACAGTAATCGGGTTATTGGTGAGCACATACACGAAGTGCCTGAGCTCTTCCCTTATGACCTCGATAAAGAAGACCTTGTGATGGCTAACACTTAAAAAGACCCTTTATATTCTCACTGTAATCAGCAGCACATGGCGATGTGTGGAAGGGAATAAAGACTTTAATTAGATTGGGCTTGACTCGTGAACTTGTTGATTGTCCGACTTTTAAAATATCCCAGCTTCGAGACGGGTGTTTCTTTGTTTTCTGGTGTAAAGTGACTTTGCCCTGTTTGTTTTTCACCCTTCTGCTCTTAACCTCTTAAGTCCTGGGCCCTAACCCTCAGACTCGAAAATGACATGCCCAGAATGAATGAGTATATCTTCACAACTAAAAGGGGTATATGAATAATCTTTTTTATCAAAGCAATGATTCACCTGTGAGTGTCAGAATCATAATAGATGTTGCTGTGTCAGAGTAAATTCAGTTAGAGTTAACCCTAACCCGGAGGTTAAATAAAATAATCAATTAAATTATATAAAAATGGAATACCTGAGTGTTTACCGAGTGTTCCATCATTACATTATTACATTTAGCTGACGCTTTTATCCAAAGCGACTTACAATAAGTACATTCGACCAGGAAGACACAACCTTGAAGAAAACAGAATCATATAAGTACATCAGGTTTCATAGAGCCAAAACATTTCAAGTGCTACTCAACTGGCTTTAGATAAGCCAGTCTTTTATTAGTATATAAGTGCTTTGTTAATAGTTATATCGCTCGAAGTAGAGTCGAAAGAGATGAGTCATCAGTCAGGATGTAGGGTTGGAAGAGTTATTTGTATTCCCTAAAAATGACTAATTACCTGTAAAAACACATAGTTGTTTAAAGGGCCCTATCATGCTCACTTTCAGGTTCATATTTGTATTTGGTGCCCCTTTGTGACATTTTTCCATGCTTTAATGTTCATGTTGAGCTTTGGGATTTTAGCCTTTGCAGACCATTTACATGCACACAAACCTAAATAACACACTACAGGAAAGGGAACACCCCTTAAAACATGATATAGGGCCCCTTTAACAAACCAGGTGTCAACTTACTGCATTTAAAAAGAATGAAGAAAGCCTTTCATTTATCTGTAAATGCTTCTCTAAATCTGATCTCCTTGAATAGTGACAGTATTTCAGAATGAACAGCTGGCACTGAACGATAATGGTGTTCCTCTTTTCCCCTTAAAAAATGTTTCCCTGTTAGCTGTAACTCCCCAAGCGTATATACAGTATACAGTACACACATAAATGTGTATAAATATAACGTTTAAATGATCTTTTAATTGCTTTGTTCTAATGTTGCAGCTTCTTTCCTCTCCAAGCATTAAACAGCCTGATGATGGGTATTTGCCTGACTCCCTGCAGGGCCGTTCCTCTGCCTCCTCTCCACTTCCTCTTCCTCTCAATTCATATTCTGAGGAAGTTAAGGTTCCCTCTGGAAATGAGAACATTTACCAAGTCATGTTCAAACCAGAACAGGATGTGATGTCATGTTGTGTAGCTAAACAGCACACGTTTCTGTTATCATGCCAAAAATACAATAAACACAAAAGCATAAGTACATTAATTTATTCTTTTTATGGGTTAATATTCAACATCATTTCAAGAATTGGACAACTAAAGATGTTGACCTGATGATGATATTAGAGGGACACCTCCAAAAGGTACATTAATGTTGACATGCAACAAAATGTCATTTCAATCCATGTAATACTTGTTGATGTATTTCACTTTGAACTATATGCATACCTCTTGCATTAAAAGTGAGGGGATGACCGAAGTACGAAGGATTTATCCTCTGGAGAACATGAATGTCTAATTTAAAATGTCATGTCAATCCATCCAATATTTGTAATGGTTTAATAGCCTGGACCAAAGAAGTAGACAGGCAGACGGATACATCGAGCAATACCTCAGTAAAAACAGTCAGAAAACGATTGAAAATCAAGGATAAAAATACAAAGACACAAAATCTTCACAATCTTTCAATCAATTACCACATCTTCCACAAATGGCTTATCCCTTTTAGATTTGGATCTGTACGACGTGAGGCAGTTTCTGTCACTGTGTTTCTCTGCATAGAAATGAGACCTCAGATGCAGCTTCCTCCTTGTTCTCTGAGCTAGAAGCACCTTGGGGTGTAATCGTAATAAAAGGATTATTAGTCCCACCCTGGGTAGCCTCTGCGCTCCACTTGCATCCCCTTAAAACCAGTAGCAAGTCGTTAAAATGGGGTTTCCAATAGCAACACTATGAAAGTGGTGAGGACAGTATGGCTTTGTGCTGTCTGAATCAAGTCTCTGATGAGCAGGATGTTGAGTAAGCAGTCAGCACGAACGTCATTATATTTCCTGTCTGTCACAAAATGAGATTTTGGGAAGCTAATGGCAGCATGTTATTGTGGGTTTAATTGATAAGCTCTCAGCACGCAGCTCTGACTGGTACAAATATCCGCTTTATAATTTGCTGGAGTACAATGCCAGCTTGAACATTGCCTTAAAGGGACAGTTTACCCCCAAATCAAAAATTGATATTTTCCCTCTGACCATCAGGATGGTTTTGGTGTCAGTCGCTGTGAGCTGGAGAAAAGGCAGAGAAGTGTATTGAAGATAATGGAAACGATGGAAGTTGGTGCTAAAAGCGCCAACAAACAACATTTAGCAGCAATATCTCTTTCAAGACATCTTTATTATGTTACTAAAGATAATCCACAGACCTTGTTGCTATCTGTTTCACCCAAAAATATTACAAAAACACATATGTTTGTCTGCCTTCTCTTGGGTGGATGGGTTGTGGTGCCAAAACAAATAATCCAAAGAGATGGAAAGAAAGAAAGATCAGCAGTGATGTATGTTTCTAGAATTCATGAGTGAGTTAAAATAATCCACAGACCTTGTTGTGAGCAGTTTCATTAAGGAACTATTTTATCTCGAACAACACCCACAAACCGGATCCCTATGGAGAAGAAGCGTGCAGGTACTTAAGAAGTCAACAGAATGGACTCCAATTGTATAACTTGAGCTTTCACAAGCCTCTCATCCATGAGAAAGGCTTCCTTCTGCATGGTGATGTGGTTGGCAGGTGTAGTTCTGTAGACAGAAAATAGTTCCTACATGAACAGTGTCATGATTTCTGGAAAGAAACATTTTTGTTGAGTTTTTCAAATGTGTTTTTTGGGGACTTTGAGCACCAAAACCTGAGCATCATCTAGTTCCATTATATTCAAGACAAGGCAGATATTTTTACCAGTCAGTAACCAAGACGTACACAATACAGATTGACAAAAAGAAATACAGGTATATGTTTTTGATTTAGGGTGAACTATCCTTTTAATAGTCTTTCTTTTTTGGAAGAACTAATTTCTTACGTTTTTTCAATAAACAAATGGCCAAAATGATGAGTAAGTCAAACCCAGCACTGTTTTAAGTCTTAATTATCTCTGTATGTGTGTCTCTGCAGGTCTGATGACCCTGTGTGGAGTGAGCCTCTACATGATCTACTCCTACCAGGCTCTGGCGGAGACGGAGAGGCTGGTGGGGGCGGAGGGTCTGGCCCACATCCACACCTCCTTCGGCTGGTCTCTGGGTCTGGCCTGGCTCTCCTACGGCCTGGAGCTGCTCACCGGGGTCCTGCTGCTGCTGGCTGCCAGGAGGGCCAAGCAGCAGTGCAGGAGTCCCAGAGCCTGACTCTAACTCCAGAGGATCCAACACCTCCAGGAGGGAAACTGGACTGATGGGTTACTGACATGTGGCTCTTAAGGTTATTAACAAGAAGCTTTAAAGGAACACTAATGTTCAACTGAAGAGGTGTCTGACTGTTAAAGAGAGTATTTTATAAGGTTAATGTCCTCAAATCTGCTTTAAATGTGATAAATGGCGCCCTCTTGTGGTCTGATTTTAAGAAGTCTAAAGATAACTGTACAGGAGTAGAGAAAACGTTTCAAATAAACAACAAACGTATACAATTCAACAGTAAAAAGATGCACATCTATGGAGTAACTATAGTCAACAATATAACAAGAAATAAGTTATAATACACTTGTTTCCATGCTTATTGTCACACATTCAATCTGTGCCAAATTAAACTGAGGATCTCAGAGTCTACGTTTCTACACACATTCACTCTCCACATGCTTAATCAGTCTGTCTTTGAAGGTTTAACGTGTTAGAAATGCCAAACCTGTGTTGTCTATATATTCACATTTTACTTCAATGTTTTTTCTACTAAAAATATGTATCCATTTTTGTTCACTGGTTAAAAATGTTACTGTTGTGCGGCTACTTATTGTCTGTATTTTGAGCCGATTGATCATTTAAAGTTTATACTGTTTATTATTCAGTACTTTGGGATTGAACATTATCTGTATCTACGGTGTTTTTCTTTAGTTACTTTTTTAAGAAGAATTGTATCCGTCTCAATTGTTACATTTATTTCATTGTGTGCAAGCAGCACTTGTGACTGTGGGATTTGACTCGAAGGCCAAAGGTAGTTTTGTTGTTTTACTATTAGCACTGAGCAGAGAGGAAGACTGGATTCCTGTCGCTGTCACTCATATCGGACAGGATCCTTTCAGAAAAACACAAATACACATTACTAAACACTTTCCCCAGACGTTTCTAAGGCAACGTAAACATCCTTTCGGTCCTCACAAAGGATGGAAAGTGGGCGTGAGAGGAGATGTGTGCAGAAAACTGAAGATACTGGCCGTTTCTCAATGTCGAGTATACCTGCTGCAGAGCCACTATTTCAAGTATACTACGTCATCGAGTGGCGCCTAAGGACTGTTTAAATGCATGTTAAATGCCCAGCATTCGGCGCCACTCGATGACATAGTATACTTGAAATAGTGGCTCTGCAGCAGGTATACTCGACATTGAGAAACGGCCTCAATGTAGTCATCGGATGAAACCATTCAGCTGTAGTCAAGGGGAAACAAGCACCAAGACATCGCAGTGTAAACAGAAGCTATATGTTGGTTTTCCAATAAACTATAAGCTGAACGTATCTCTGATTCCTCAAGCTTCTTAAAGGGGCCCTATCATTTTTTGGGAGGGGTTTCCCTTTCCTGTAGTGTGTCATAAAGGTTTGTGTGCATGTAAATGGTCTGCAAAGGCTACAATCCCTAAGTTCCAGACAGAAATTCCTCCATTGGACTCCTTTGTTTACTTCAAACATAGGGTTAGGGTTATTGGTTAGCTTCTATTGGCTAGTGCTCCAACACAATGTACGTGATAGGCTAAGGGGCGGGACATCTCTAAGCGGTTGACCAATCACAACAAAGCCAGCCAGCTAACCAATCAGAGCAGACTGGGCTCTGGTTTCAGACAGAAGGTGAAAAGAGGTGCTGCAGCAGACAAATAAAGAGCTTTTTGAACATTAAAGCATGGAGACATGTCACAGTAGAGACACTACATACTGATATGAAGCTGCAACTCCCTTCAACTGCAGCCATCTTCTCTAAATATGTACTTTTTCAAGATTGTAAATAATATCAAGAATATGGTCTTCTAAAACAAGATGAGACAGTTTTCAAAAGATTCATCTTTAATGGAATGAGATCTTCCATGCTCATTCAAAAGCATCACAGTGCTTCTAGAAAATGTCAGACAGGCTTTTCATTTATACAGAAATGATGACGACATTAACACAAGTATAAAACAAACTAATGGTAGCTTCAGTAATTTCTTGATACAGTGTTTAAACAACAGGAGATGCTCAACAAGGTGAATAATACATTCACTAAAATAAGAACAAAGCTGTGTTACTAGAATAATAATACTAAAGAAGAGCAAAATCATAGAGACCAGCTCGTTTTCTTGCAGCGTGATATCGTGACATGAAACTGGAAATCATCATAGATATTTACTAAGAATATGTTATGGTCTATTTAAACACAAGGCATTCAATTAGATAGTGATAATCATCTGGAATCATCATCTTAGATTTTGGATATTTAAATATTAGTTTAAAAGGCTGCATTACAGTGAAGTAAAATTATGTAATTTTCTGAAATTAGCCTAATATTATATGCCTTTATCTACTTTTCATTTTACAGGTGACCATCCATTTTCTGATTGTGTAATTGTTTTGTGAAAGCATCAATAACCAACCCTACAATAACATACTCGAGGTATAGGTACAAATATTGTGTTCTGATCAATTTGGACAGAAGTTGCCATATTTTAATATCCTCTCATGTATCCACAATAATAAGAAATGGACCCCATGAGATTACAACTGAACCCTATCAGTTACTTTAAGGTTAAACGCTCTTTAAGGCAAAGTGATCCACCACACGTATCAACGGCAGAGAAACGGTGTCATACATAATGCCTTTACAAAAAGAAACATAACGATTTCAGAAATAAATTAAATGTGACAATAAAGTGAAATGTCATTGTATATATTACAGTCTGCTCCATGTAGCTGTGTTCAGGGAAGAGCCTCTGTCATATTGGAGCCGGATATTTGGTGCTTTGGGCGGTTTTAAGGCCTGAAATGTCAGTATTTGTGCATCTTGGTAGATGGGATGAGAGGAAGAAGGGTTATCTGTCATTAAATGTTAAGAAGACAGATGATGCAGCAGGGCCTCCTTGAAAGTCTGGACGTTTTAATCCATTTCCATCATGTTTTGTTTTTTTAACCTTCTCCCATTTGAATGACTTCCTTCTCACTGTTCATGGTTGAAGATGAGGAAGGCCATATCAGAGCTCATTTCCCAACACAATTCATCCAAAGTTGAAGCACAAACAGGTTCCTCTGAGTTTAGTTTGACCTTAATGGTACTTCCCACACTGGCATGGAGGAGTCCAATCCGCCTCCATTGGTGGTGTTTCTCCAAAAGCACAAACATAAGTCATCCAGGCAGGCAAACCTTCCCGGCAAACAGCAACCCCACGATGGTGAAGAATATGGAGAGAACAAAGAGGACATATGAGGAGCCCACCACTGTGTTGTTGGGGAGTTTATATGGCTGTCCTCCCACCTCGTTGATGTAGAAACCGATGGGGAAGATGAGAGCAGCCATGCAGAACAGAACCACTGTGACAGAGGAGAAAACAGAAGGACAGAAACGGATTACACATCCTCTCTGGAACGACGATTCCCAACCAGAGGTGATCTGCAGCGGCCAGGACGAATAAGGAAAGACTGTATTGAAGCTCAAGATATTTGAAAATAAAGAAAGTATGACTTAGTGCTCTTGGGGCCAGCTGTAACACTTGAGAGTTGAGAGTGCATGAAAGAAAAGTTGGCAAACCAGCAGATACATTGAAATAACAGGCAAATATTAATGGGAAACCAGTTCAATAAGCAACGATAAATGGTTTAAATGGGTCAAATAAGAAGTACACAGTTTAAAAAGTTATGTTAGCAAAAGGTAATAATGGTATAAGATATAGAAAGTAATTGATAGGCAGTTAAATGAGATCGTTAGATAATGGAAATGGTTCAAATAGATAAAGTGATGGATAAACAGTAGGATTAGTTAGCTGTCTCTGATAGAAAAAAAAGGTTAATAAACCAGACAACTCTAATTGATTTAATTAATTGATTTATCAAATATTCATGTCAACCCCAAAACACATCTTTACCCCCCTTTAACCCTCCTGTTGTTTTCGGGTCAAATCTGACCGATTTACTACTTTCATCAATCATAACTTTTTAGTTTTACATTCGATTGCATTAAGGCGTTATGATATCCTTCACAGTAGACATTTGAACATATACATTGCTGATCACCACTTTCATTGAATTTTGGATGATTTAGTCAACTTTGTAACATCCGGATCAGATCACACACACACACACACACACACCATGTATACATCACTTCAGGGGACATTACATTAACTTACATGCATTTCCTGGAGACTTATCCTAACCTTAACCATAACCAACACATGCCTAACCATAACCATAACCTTAACCTAACCAAGTCTTCACCCTAAAATTAATGATTCCCCTCATGGGGACCTCCAATTTGTAACCATGAAGGAAGCCAGTCCCCACACTTGACTATGTAAACAGATTTAGGTCCCCACAAGTATAGTAATGCTAGACCACACACACACACACACACACACACACACACACACACACACACACACACACACACACACACACACACACACACACACACACACACACACACACACACACACACACACCACACACACACACACACACACACACACACACACACACACACACACACACACACACCACACACACACTAGATGTGTTCCCCCCTTATGTGCCCAATCCCCCCCATGTAAATCACACCTGGCACTCACAAACACACACACAGAACAATTTAACACATTTCCCGCTCTTATGTGCCCATCCCCCCACATGGATCATACCTGACACGCAATACATGTTCAGTGTCTATTCTTTGTATATTTACTGCAGTTCTTCATGTATACCAGTGGTCTGATACAATATGTACAGTTTGAAAGGGTGTTAAACGACATTTGGTGATGATTAATGGTTTTTGTGTTAATGTAATAGCAGTTAAAACAGGACCGGTCAAATTTGACCGCGAACACCAAAGTAAGGGCCGGGGGGGGGAACGAAGACAATAGGAGGGTTAATGCAGCTCTCAGCTTTTAAAAAGTGTGTTAATAACTGTCCCTGAACTCGTGAGAACATGCTTCATATTTTTCTATTTTTAGAGCCGAATGAACCACAGCTCCTGCTCTGAACCTCTTATACAGAGAAACTGTCCGTTTCCTGTAAAAATAGAAACAGGACCATCAATAAGCTCCTCTGCAGTAAAGGTGTTCGTAATTACCGGACTAAAAGCTTCTCCTGAAGTGAACTCTGATGTCGAGGTAGACTGCATTTATTTCACAGGAGAGTCTTCAGTAGCATCTCTTACTTTCGCCGGCATTTTATAAACTATAACGGGCAGTTTTGCCTACGCCTGCCTTTTATTTCTGACCTTAATGTTTCAAGGCTTTATTTTCATTTGCACATTGGCTAAAGTGTGGATATGGCAATGACAAACTTAGGTCACAGGCTCCTCCAACAGTGTAACATAGAGGACATAGAACAAATAGAACAAATAGTGCAAGAAGAGTCTATATTGTGGTATTCTATAGCTAAAAGGTTTAT